AGGTACGCACAGCCGTGGCGCACGCTGCTGCCGCTGATCTTTTCGTCGTTTCTTTTTGCAAAAAGATTGTAATATGCTGCTGCGCGCCCGCGAGCTCGAGAGCCGCATATATACAAGGCACCGAATCGATTCCATCCAGCGCGCAACAACATTACAATTCATATTTTAAGTGCGTTTCTCGAGTGTGTGTGTGCTGCTGCTCTTTTTTTTATCATAATTAATCGTGATTAATGCGTCTAGACTCGAGTTTATATTATTTCTCTTCAACGAGTAAGAGGAGGACAAATATTTTAGATACGAGAGAGGTAAAGTACTTCCATTGATAAAAGCGTTGATTATGAGTATACAAATGCATCGAGCCTGTTCGTTGAACTTTTTCTTCTTTTTCGTTGCAATAATCAACGATTCGAATTTCGACGGAAAAATATTTTGATTGACACGAAATTTGCATATTCAACGAGGCTATTTTGTCAAATGCTCGCGCACAGGTTTTAATATTGTTGCTTTACTTTTATTGTCACGCGGCAGGAAATATTTTCTCGGGAATTTTATGTTATTTATACACCGAAAAGAAGGATTATTTTTTATTAGAAAATGCATAACACGCAATCTGCGCATATATAATTGAATCGTTAATCTGTAAATTTATCGGATTCGCCTTGAGGGGCGACAAAAAGGAGAAGTAAGTATGCGCGCAACGATTCGGTGTGAAAAATATTTTGTCTATAGGCAGCTCGTGGACACAAATATTCAAATGGCTATAAGCCGCTACCGTATTACGGCACATGATGTAATTGTTGGAACAAAAAAGAAGGAAGGAAAAAAGTTTTATAACAGGTTGGGCTGAAAAATAAATGAGGCTAGTAGTAGTAAAGACATATTATGAAATCGACGCGCTTTAAAATCATTCCAATAGTCAAATGCGAAAATTGCTGCACGTGGAGCATATAGCACATCTGGCCTGGCTGCCGCTGTCGATTGTCACAAGACTTTGGTATTTGCGAATTTTTTTTACTTTCAATTTTTTTTATCGTGGGTATCATCTTTAAATTAAATCGCAACGATTCGAAATATGCGTTGGATCCTCGCATGCGGTCACAATTCTGACAGAGAGCAAAAGTTGCAAAATATCGCTCAACAATTTTAATTAAAAAATAATATATACCGCTATAATGAAAAGAAAAAGAATGCCGGACATGTAATAGTTTGTATTTTTAGACATTCTCTCGTGAGTACGTTGCTTATCGAATATTCATTTTTGGATGCCTCGAAATCTCGTGTTTCTTTTTCTTGATCTCTACCGCTATTATATACCGTATATATAGCGCAATCAATTATTTTATTTGAGAAGAGGGACTATAGTCACGAGCCTGCAGCGTGCGAAAAGAGAAAGAGACAGAGGGAGAGGGAGAGAAATTAATTCTGTTATGTCGAGACAGTCATTACAATGTGTATACACCAAAAGGCGAGATAAATGATGCAAACACATTTTAAATCGGCGCGTGTGGAAAAACAGCGGAAAAACTAATATAATATTTTCTCCCAAAGCGCGTGAATCACTGAAAAAGGGATGTATGTAGTAAACAGTGCCTGCGGCAGCAAGTGTATGCACTTATTATCATTACCTACATTGACTCGCGGCTCTCTTTCTCTCGCATATTATAATGTTGTTCATCGTAAAAAGCCGGATTGCAAAAGCTCCTCGAAGAGAGAGATATGAACTTGCATAATTTGCTCGTGCGGCGCGACGACAACGACAACCGCACATCGCCTCGTGACAATTAAAATAATGGAATTAACTTTGAACTTGAAAAAGCGTCGCTTCGCGGCAAAGCTACACAAAAACCACAAAAACAAAAAATGCGAGAAAAATACGAAAAAAGAAGGAATTTCCAGTGCAGACGCGAAATGTTATTTTGACATTAAATTTTATTGAGAAGTTTACGAAAATAACGCGGTAGAACGATGAAAAACCCAGTCGACGTCGATTGTGTGCATTATGATGCATGCGATGCACTTGTCGCGCGAGGCGAATAAGATGTAGCTGCAGTATCGAGAGAAAGAGAAGGAAAGATAGAGGCAAAGTTCAAAGGAAGTGCGAAGCATATAATTGCGTTACATGTAGTATATATGAGAAATGATAAATGAAACTCTCGGGCGGCGCAATGCGCTGACTACGTGCCCGATCTAGAGTCGCAGGCTCTGAAATAAATATCGATCGAAGAAATTGGAGTACATAGCTCTGGGGTTCAATCGATACATAATCAATTTCTCTCTCTCGCAGCACTGCACTATAAGCACAGCTCGCCTCGATGCATCAACTTTTGCTTTATAATTCGCCGTTGCCGGTTAAAAGTTGTATGCATGTGTGCGTTTGCTCCACTTTTGTCCCGGCAGGTATGAGGCAGCAGCACATGCACCTGCGCGCTGCCGCTGATCGGCGGCAGCGGCAAAAAAGCTGCCCCCTTTTATAAAAGTAAAGCCTGCCTGCCTGTAGACCGCCGATCGGCGGCAGCGCGCACTCGATGATGCAACATCGTGCACTTACACGCAGCACTGCAGTGTGCGGTGGAAAAAAGAGACGTCGACCGATTGAGATCTCGTCGTATAAGCTTTCTTATACTTGCACACGTCTTTCTCGCGTATGACCGATATTTGTGTACCTGTATTTATACCGATTCGTAATTTTAAAAATGCATCACATGCCCGCGCTCACAGACATGCATCGAGCGTACTTACACGAAGGGGGGACGATATCGGATTTTCGGTTAATCGAGTCCAATATACAACGCGCTTTTTTAGCTGTAATACGCGCGCGTGTGTGTGTGTGTGCGGCGGCCGCATTATGTAAGCGTGCACGAGAGAGCAACTCGTTATAATACACCTATACATATCGCTCGAACCATGACTAGATGATGCAGAGCAGCAGAAGCAGCAGCAGCAGATGACGACGATTGTGCGATTTTTTGTAACAAGACGAAACACACTGCGGCGATCATCGTTGACAGCCGAGACGCGAAATAACGAGCAACATCGTGCTAATGAACGACTCGGATGCTTTAGGGCTGCTCCAATTGTATAACCTATAAATTTCGCGCTATCTCTATCTGGTCGATACTCGCTGCGGGGAAAAAATTCTCGACAAACTCGGTCGCGTGATTCAAGAAACTTTGCTGCCGCAGCTACACGCGGAAAACTCGTTCGGCGCGTCGTGCGTAGCAGAAGGCATTATAAAATCTACCTGGCACACATGACATAACCTCCCCCTTGAGACACGATAGTATACGGAGGCTGCTGCTGCATTGCTGCAGCAAAGAGTCGTGCAAAGTGCTCTGCAGCAGTAGTCACGGCGTAGCAGAAAGCTTTCTGTATGCCTGTTTACACGACGACGACGACGACGATATTTTACCGCGGCTAACTAAGAATACACAAGAGAGCTTATGATGATACGATAATGCATGCAATGGTGTGCGTGAAGCACCTATAAAACTCACTCAAGCTTGATTTATCCAAAAAAAAGTGGAGATCCCAAGCGAAGACGTCAGCTCTCGGAGACCTGTCATTCCTCGAGGCTGTGATTATTTCGAGCTCTCTGTCTCTGTCGGATCTGACAACTTATCACAGCGCCCAAGTTTTATTAAACGAGTGTCCGTGTGTGAGTAACGTCAATGTATTCGGTTTTCGCCGAGGCACCACACACATACACACGCACGCACTCACGCACGCACTGGTTAATGAAAAAAAAGTCACGCACACGCACACGCGTCGCTGCTTTCGAAAAACAAAAAAAAAATATCACATAACGAGCGACGACGACGGCGACGACGACGACGACGACTTACTTGCTTGGCCTGAAGCGTGCTTTTACACATCACCACCACCACCACCACCGCCACTACCACCACGGCAGTATAACTTCTGCACAACCACCACCACCATCGCTTATACTACTAACTACCACCACTATATCGGTGCTGTATGACGTGCGTGTGTGTAAAACCGTTTGTTCCTCCCCACACAGCGAAGCAACTGCACTACTGTACTGCACACACACGCGAATTTTGGACTTTCACGCGATTGCGTTGCAGAGCACGCACCACAGCTGCTGCTACTCTCGTGCAGCGTGAGCGCGCACACCAGCTGATTTTCAGCTGCATATAATATACAGCTAACAGCAGCACTACTGCTGCTGCTGCTGCTGCTGCGCCAGTCAAGGAGAGGAAAGGGTTGCCCGCGAGTAGGTACTCTCGACCGTAGGTACACTATGCGAGATGCAGTTTTTGTGCACTTTTGCGCTGACCGAGGTCGATTAATTTTTGTTTAATTTGGCCTGCGCATGCGTTTTCTGGGCAAAGCACGTGTTGAGCCATGCACATTATACTGCACTCGAGTTGTGTACAAGTGGGGCGACGGGGCAGGGTGAGCTTTTCGAGCGCAATAATTACCACTCGATATGCAATAAGCAGTATGTTGAAGCACTCGATCGAGCTTGACCATCGAATTTTCAAGTTTCGAACGACGGTTTGAATTTATTCGAAGATCATTAAAATCGTTTGTATTTTCAATGCCAGTAGTTGACTTTTGAGCTTTTTAAAAATATTTTATCGGCTTTTTTAAAAAGAATTCGAATTATTCAATGGAATCAAATCCAAGCAAATGGGCCGATACTACATCGTACGATTTCTCAATTGGTCGAATACTGGCGAGTTTTACCTTGAATCTCTGAAAATGTGTGTTTCTTCAATCTTTGAACCAATCGCTCGAGGCCGTTTAGCACGATTATATCGGCTTTTCAATACATCTTGATTTACATAAACTGTCAACGCTTTCTCGTGGTCGCGAGCTTAATCACGCTATACACAACAGAGTAGGTAAGATAGGGAATTCGTTTCGTTCGTAGGATAAACAAAATTAGTGTCTTTTTTAATTTCTTGATAATATCAATTAACAACTTTTATTAAACATTTATAAAATATTTTAAGCTCGAAACTTTATACAATGTTTTTGTCCAATAACTCTACAATACTGCCATAAATTAAAATTAAAATCATGGACAAAGACTATAAGGCTGTGTACTGAATAATACAATTCCAATAAACTTATTTACACTTTGAGTCAACGAAGACAATAAATCAGTCCTTATTTTCTTATTTCCTATGAAATTTCAAGCTAACTAAGAAACAAAGAATGCATAATAAGTTGATCCCCAATCAAATGTATTCTGGTCACATCAGTAATTTAATTGGTTTTGGGATTCTCCGCATTAGAATGTCTGGCATGACTCATCATTGACTCTACTCTGCTGGCTGTCTCTCTGACCACATCAGTTAGATCTTCTGGCAATGTAGGGATATGAGCTGAAAGTCTTTTGTACATAGAGTCTCTGTTACCTCCTTCGGCTTTCTTGCGTCTCTGCTCTTCGTATTTGATTTGTTGCTTGTAAAATATTGCATTTTTCAAAAGCTCCATGGTATTTTCAAAGCTCTTAGTAGCGCCTTCCATGTTTTTGATTGCAGTTACAGCATATTCAACATCGTAGCAGCGACCTTGCAATTGTTGCCTCAGGGCTAATACTTCAACTCTTTTTTCCACCATAGGTGGCAAAGCTTTCCTAACGTGCTCTTGTAAACGATAAAATGCCAGAGACGGTTCATTGGCCACTATGTGAAGATTTTCTGATATCCTTTCGGTTGCTGCAAAAAATGATGATTTGTAAGTTACACAGTGAGGAAAAAAAACACACAAACACAAACTGTACCTTTCTTCACTCTAGTCTCTAGTTCCTGATCTGGTTGATAAACTTTAGCAGTAGCCATGTTAAGCAGTCACAAGTAGAGATGCTAAGTCGCTAAAATGTTTCTAAACAATAGAATTGTCACACTTTGCTATTGAATACTCTAGATAATCGACAACGGCGACTCTCGCGTCAAAACAGCTCATGGCGAAACGTCAAAATGCTCTCAGCCCTCGACTCGCAGCTTCAAACTTGAGAAAAACACAATAACTAAGGGATGAATGCCTGCTCGATGGCCAGAGCCAGGGTCTGGAGGACGAACCAGCAGCCGCGGACGTTAGTCCACACAAGCAAAACACCCAGGGCCAGAATCATGTTTATGTGCGACAGCGAGCTTTCACGAGTCGACTCGTATTTACCAACTGATGATGGAGTCTGCCGCTCGACGCTCCGATTTACCACGAGTTCGATGAACGCGCTACGAGCCGAGACTTATTATACCGCAAGAGCTACTCAATCAGCGTGAGACTGTGATATAGCGCTGAAATGGGTATCCAACTTATCCCGTAAAGCCGGGACCAGCAGCGGCGACTTGCCAAACATACGTGGCAAAGTCTCGAAATACACAATTTCGCTTCGGAGCAAATATCGAAGCGCCACATAACGTCGCTTCGAGGCCCGTATATCCGTCTCTTTCTCGCTTCACGTCGTTGTATAATTCGTACACATATAGGAATCAAACTTACATACGGTGCCGCGAGTCACTGCTGCCACCGGCCATATCGTCATCATCCCATACTCTGCTGGTTCGCATCAGAGGCCCTGCTTGTAGTGAACCAAGTGTATCTCAGCTTACACGTCAGGTACGTTTTAATTGTGAAATTGCTTTTCGAATTTGTTTTATTTGCACTTAAATCCTGCGACTTTTCCGTATCGTTCGAGTTGAATGAAAATTGAAGAGTTTTGTGAATTTTTTCATTTATCTATTTGGAGTTTAATGGGAACTTGATGAACGTGCGCTTGCAAACATACGCGTGTCTTTCTGCCATACATATTGTATGCAAGCGATTGTCTGGAAACTTTCAATATGTTGATATTTTTTGTAGTTGATCATTTTTAGTGATGATTATGGAAAAACCGATGCACTGCAATAGTTCACTGTGAATTTTTGCTATTTAAGACAGCAAACGGATTTTACCATATCGTCATCAAAAATATGTGCAATTTTTTTTACATGCATTGGTGAAAAGAATTTAAATATGGTTCATGTTATTTTCAGAATGAAGTGTCAATTTTTGTTGTTCGTGGCTGCTGCAGTCCTTATGGCTGTCTGCGGTGAGGAGGAACAGGTGCAACAAGATGAGGGTGCTCGTCTGTTGGTATCCAAAAATGTTCACAATAAATATCTTGTTGAGAACATGGATGTTATTGTCAAGGTATCAATTAATTTCTTCAGTCTGATTATTATTATTTATAAAAAATAATCATGCCACATGCTAAATATTATTTGTATTGAATTTTTTTAGTACACCGTCTTCAATATTGGTAGCTCAGCAGCTCTGGAAGTAGAGATCACCGATAACTCTTTTGATCCAGATAACTTTGCCCATGTCAGTGGTGAATTGAGTGCCAGAGTTGACAGAGTGCCACCAAATACCAATGTGACCCACACCGTTGTTGTTAGGCCCAGAAAAGCTGGATACTTCAACTTCACTTCAGCTGAGGTTCTCTACAGAAGGAAAGAAGATGCTCCCATGCTACAGGTTGCTGCCAGCAGCGAGCCTGGTATGGCTTTCTTCACCTCGTACAAAGAGTACAACAAAAAATTCTCATCCCATGTTGTGAGTTCACTTATAGTTTATTTAAAATATGTTGATAAAATATATTAATTCACATATACTTATTCATAAATTAATTTTTTATAGGTTGATTGGGCTGCTTTTGCTGTGATGACTTTACCATCTTTGGCTATTCCATTCGGTTTGTGGTTCTCCAGCAAACATAAATATGAAAAACTCTCAAAGGGTACAAAAAAGCATTAAGTTACTAGTTATCGTGCTTATAACTGAATTGTTTAGTTAAGAAACTATTTTTCGTGTGATTGTGAACGACGAATGTGTTTAATACTTTGAATTTTTAAATAAATATTACTTGTGTATATTAAATTCAAGTTTTTATTTAAAAAAAGTCTTATTCATTATACTTCTTTAGAAGTACAATGTTATTTACAGAACTTTCAATTGATTTACAGTTAGTATAAAATACCATTAAAGAATACATGTCCCTATTGATTAATTGATCACAAAAATCAGTGCTTATACATTTAAAGTTATCAACCTTTTTGTAATAATTGTACATGTACATCAAACGATGAAAAATTAAAAAAAAAAAAGAAAAAAAAAGTGATTAATAATTTAATTTCAAATTCTAACATATGACTGAGCTTAAAAAAAAATAACCATAAAAATTAATGCAAAATATCTAACCCGAAAAAATAAGTCTGTTCATTTAGCTGGTAACATTTATCAACATTTCATATTGTATCTTTCTGATGCATACTCTTTCCATTTAAACAACATCAATTCATAATATTCTTGTGTATCAAAAGTTAATCAATATTCTTTAATGAATCTTGCTTGAAAGAACTTGACTTGAAAAAATTTCAGTCGTTACAAAAAAACATTCATCATTCAAACATCCGAGAACCATTATTTATAAAAAGTTCATTTGACTAAGTAACATTACCATTTCTTTCTAGAGTATTGTCTCGTTGTTTTACAACTATAATTACAACATTATTTACATTTATGAGCTGCTATAAAAATTATTATGTAAGTTAATGTATTATGGCAGTTTAAACAGCTTCTTTATAGTAATGAAAATAAGAACAAACTTATAAGCGTCATAAATATTGAAGATAAATGTAAATTAATAGGATTTTTTTGATTACTGAATCAATGTGATTCTATTGTCAGGCTTTAAATTTATAGACAAGTTCGATTTCTCCTTGTATTTGGCGTGAAAAAACCACGCGGATCCCCGTAAACAGGTTCAAACGCTGAAAACGGTTTATTAAATGGTGAACCTGGACTACCGGGACTAGACGAGCTAGATTGATTCATAGATGCAGAGCCGGGCTTTTTCAACGGAGGTGAACATTTTTCAGCTGAAATTAAACATCGAGTGTCATTTAAATAATTTATGATTCATGATTTATCCGTCAAAACTTTTACTTACCATAAACATTTTTATTTTTTACTGATACATCGACGTGGGTCATGGTATTTTTCCAATCTGAAAAGTGGTATGATTAATTTGTATTGTAAAATTTGTTAATTTCAGTTATCAACATGTCAACTCACAGTGGAAGAATGAAATAGTTAAAATGACGAGAGTTCCTAATGTGTACCTATGGAAGTACATATAGTCAACCCAGTGAATGCCAGAAATCCTTGGAAATTGATCATACTTGGGTACTCTGATCAATAACTAAAAAACATTTTATTTAAAATTTTTGGAATCATTTGAAATAATAGATATTTGTTTGACGATAGTTACCGATATGTTTTGCTTCGTAAGTTCGTTAGTGATAATAATTTTACGGCCTTGAACTTCATCTTGATTTTGAGTCAAACTCAATTTATACTGAGCTAAATTCCTTGATAAATATTGTCGAGCACCTACGCTCACTTCTTCTGGAGTTTCAATCTAGAAAAATAACCATTTGTGAGTATTAAAATAATAACATAAAACTCGACTGAGTATAAAAAAACTCACAATGATATGTTCCAAAACATGTGGCAGTCCGTAAATATCAAGATTAGCTGTTGGTACGTCTTGACCAAGAGCACTCAAAAATATGATTTCCCTTGTAGGAATATACATGGGAGGAAGGTAAGAAACTTCTACGGGTGTACCTTCAATATCCCGACTAAGGGCATTGATTCGCAGTTTAGTTTCCAGAGTACTAGATAATACAGATGGCAATCCCATTGGTATTATATCACAGTAGTAAAATCCTGCAGAAAGTATTTAAAATCAAAAATCAATTTTTCTAGACAGTCGTTATTCATTAATAAAATCATAAATTCACCAGTGGCAATGTCAAAACGAGGTTTGGCATAAAACAGATCCTTTATACCAACAGTAGAGTGCAACGGGGTAAATTGAACAGTGCATATAATTGGATAATGACTCAACGTGTAAGAAGCTTGCGTTCTACATCCTCCAAGACCGCGAGATAGAACATTATTTTCTTTGACCAATTCGTGCTTTCCTTTCAGTACCAGCGGCACACTGAACGTCTCGATACCGGTGATATTTTTGCCCTTCAATGGCAATAATGTCACTTTGGCAATCGGACTCACGGTTATTTCGACTTCGTCTCGTAACGAAGTAGCAATACTGTGCTTGATTAGTGCTACGCCTGGACTGCGAGCACGACCGATGCCAGTAACAGGATCAACATGAAGGATTTCAGGTGCTGAAGATTGCCAGTATCCTAAATCGCCATCAGCTGATAATAGTGGCATGGAAAAGCAAACCACATCGCCAACAGTCAGTGTAGACTGAAAACGACAAAAAAAAATTAATTACTTTCATTTTTAAAATATTAAAAAAGTCGTGATAATCTTACTTTTGTTGGGAAGAGTACGTCACCAATAGTCATATGTACGTAATCAAATATGCCATTAGGATATTTTTCATTGAAGACCTTTACAATAATTTCTCCGTTTTCCAAAAACTTAGCGTTAACGGTATTTTCAGCGGTTTGCGTGAAAGTGACAAGATCTGTACGACTGGAGAGTGTTTTAAAGTCTACGTGGGCTGCGTTGAATTTGGATCCAACGCTGTCATAGCATTCTAAAATGTAATCCAAATCCATGCCTTTTGGCAACATGGTAAGCTCCTCACCGTTTCTAATACGGACGTTCGATTTTAGCGATAGCATGACGTAGTGTACTGGCTTTACCTAAAAGAAACATCGCATTAAACCAGGAAAATTCAAATGATAAAGAGCTTACTTACGTAGACAGCAATAGTGAGTGTTTGTTTGGAGCTGTAAGCTTCGACGTTAGTCACTTGAATAATGCCATGTCCATACTGATCTCCGGATTTCAGATTTCCGTATCTGTCAACGCTTATGATATTAGATACCGAGCTGAGAGCATTGGAATCTTCAACTTCGGCGCTAGTACTCTGAGTGTCGGTTAGTACTTTGTACGTCATCATGCCCTGCTTGTCACGGTTCGTTTTGATTTTCATGGAAGAATTCGGTGCCATTATGAGTGTCAAAGATGGTTGATTCATCTCGTCATTCATCAGCCGCAGTTCTTCAAATATTTCAATCTTAATCGCTGCGCTAAAACTTGGCATGATACCGCGACAGCCTCCGAGAACGTTACAGGGAGTCGAGGCAGTTAGTTGAAGAGTGACGACGCCTGGCTTATTAGCTCTGGCACGTAGAGTCACTTCATTTTGGTATCTGACGTTGATGCCAGTTCCCTCGTACATTTCGTGAAGGCTCATGAGGTTGCTATCGCTCGTGACCCATGAAAATACTAAAGGTGATCTCATCGATCCAATGACCAAGGGCGTGAGATGATCGGGTATACCAAATGCCCAGACTGGAATCACTGCACCAAGTTTGACTCTTGTTGTAGGTACAACGATCTTTACTCCTTCCAATAGTATTACACGGACTTCAGCCTTGTCTTGAGAAAATACGACTTTCTTGCCTCGAGCATCTTCGCCGACGGCCTTAGCGTAAATGGTAGTATGACCTGTCGCCTTTCCTTCGATGACACCGCTACCATCTATGGTCAACACTGATTCATCATCGGTAGAAAACTCAATCTCGGCGTTGTTAGGTCCTCCAACGGTAGAAAGTTGGTATATGGTGCCAACTAATGTAGTCAGATTCTTTGGTAGAAGTTGCAAGGGCGAGAAAACTTGTACAACAAGGACGTCACTTCTGATGGCCTTGTCACCAACACCGCTACTGAATACGATCTGCGCTTCTCCTTCCTCGAGTCCATGGATCAAGTAGAGGATTTTGTCATAAGGAGCTCCACCGTACTCTTTAGCGTCCACACGTTCGATCTGAATGTATCCGTTCTCGGTTTCGACCTTGATGTCGAGAGCTTCGAGCACGGGTAGCATCATGAGGGCACCGTTGGTATCGTACATCTGGAGTTTAGCCATGACAAAAGTTCCAATCTCGACCTTATTAATGCACTCCACTTCGAGAGATGCTAGCTGTTGAACCTCGATCTCAACTTCGGCAGGTTCGGATGCCAGGCACTGGTCGACCAAAGCAATGTGGAGCATACCCGAAGTACGTGGTACAATGCTAATGGTGCGAGTAGGTTCGACGTAACGAACATCAGCTACATCGTGATTGCTCAAAACCAACTCGTAGTAACCAGAGCCTTGAGATACTTGCAGGTAGTATTTGCTGTTAGGATCGTTAAGGATCTTGAGGCGCTTTGGATAAATCGTTGTATCATTGACTAGGAAAATATCGACACTGCTCTCGATCACTGGTGTTACCAAGGTGCCTCTGTCATTCTCAATTGGAAATGCTGGATATTCTGGTGTTATGCGGAATCTAGAAACAACATTAAAAAAAATTCATTTTCATATGATTCATTAATTCTACAATTTTTAATTTCGAAAATATTACGAAAATGCAATTACCTTGAAAGGATGCTCTTTTGATAACCAGTAATTTTAGCTTTGAGCGTGAGACCGTCTGTGTACTTTTTCGGTACTACCAGTTGATAGTGATTTTTAGGTAGATGTACGTGGTAATCGACAAAAGTTTGCTCTAAACTTCCTAACTGTGTTTCCATTAAGGCACTGCCAGGTGGCTTGACGTTCCATTCAATACTCAAACTAGTTATGTTGTCGAATTTCCGATCATTTTCGTCCTTGACGACAACAATCATCTTCAACGACTCTTCGCTTCTGGCGACGATCCGATCGGTATCGGTAACCGGGCAGTTAAGACCTTCCTTGAATTCAGGCTGAAGCGAGATATATCTTGGTTTACCACAGGTAACTTTGACAGAAGCCAAAGCTTCGCCTCCTTTAGAATTTGATTGAGTTGGGATATTGTGCACGTTGAACGTGAGATATTCCTCGCCAATAGATTTACACAAAACTCGGAAGATCGATACATCTTCATCGTGAGTTTCCTGTTGAATGACTTCAAGAACGTTTTTATCACTAACGTGGATCTCTCTCTCATAGCCTTGCATTAAGCCGGACCATGCTCTCGGTCCTCCACGGAAAACAATATTTCTTGATGAACCTACTGCCAAAAGCGTTTCAGCTTTTGGTGGATGAACGACGAGCAAAGGTTCGTAAGCGGATACAGTGACGTTATCGGTGAGATTTCGACCATAGGTGACTGAGACTTTTGATATTCCAATCGATTGACTAACAATGGCCACGGTGGTGCAAGCTGTACCGACGGGTTCGATATCTCCTGCATCGATTTCAACGAAAGTACCGTCGGGAATGTCTACTTCAAAAGCAAGATCTCGACAATCGTTGAATGGAATCATGCGGACTTCCGAGCCATCATGCAGTTCACCGAACAAAGCAACATGCAAGTATATAACTTCACCTACAGCAGCTTCCATAAGGTATTGAACAATTTCAAGCTTAGTTGGTTCGAGAACATAAACTTTGGCTGCATCACGATTGTGTACATTTCTAACTAGTGAGACTGTAATATCAGCAGTGCCCTTTTGTAAAATTTTCAAAGCACCACTTTGAGATACACTGACTGTTGATGGCTGTCGACTGGTCCAGCTGTAGGAACCATCTCCACCACTAGCTTTCAAAGCTACATCATATCTAGTTTTTACTGTAGGGTCCCATGGAAGTGCCAAAACTCTAGGTTCAATGGCAACTGCAGAATGAATGGTAAATTCTACTCTTGCAGATAGTTCTGGATTCAAAGGTACACGTTTTCCTTTTTTATTGACAACACCATGTAGTGTTGCCTCTACGACTGTAGTTCCAGTAGAAATTGGAACTGTCACAACATGAGTTCCGTTATGAGTGGTGAATTTTTTATCAAAGTATTTTTCACTCATTTTCATGGTTACTTCAACATTTTCACCAATGTAGAATTTATGGTCTTTACTGAAATTAAAAAATTTTAAATGAAAATTTATCTTTCTTCAAATTAAAATTTTGAATAAAATTATTTACCTGTCAAACATTTCAACAATAAGATCATGAGTATGACCCATTATGAGTGATCTAGTCCTGTGAGGAAGTGCAGCAATTGTTATGTATGCAACTTCATTAACATTAACTGTCGCTGTAGGTAAAATAACACCATATTCCTCGTGAACATTTTTATCAAATAATTTGACTTTGGTTTTCCCAAGCATTAAAGCATATGCACTAGCTCTAGCATTATTGATCTCACAGATTTGCGAGTTCTCAGCTTCTAAGTAATATTGACTTGTTGGAATATGAATTTCTTCTAATCTTCCTTGGTGAACCTAAAATAGATCATTTTTATACATCAGTTGGTTTGAATTTATTTGAGTTGGTTTTAATTAATTATGAATATACCTGCACTATTCTGTAAGTAAAACTATCAAATGGCATGATAGTAACATCAGATGGAATTATTATCAAATTTGCTACAACAATCAGTTCAACTTCAACAGGAGATACATGTTTATATTCTGGATACTGTATTTTCACAGAAACTTTAGCTGTGCCAGTTTTGACACCTTCCAACAGTACAATGTTTCCTGTCTTGCCAACAATGTCTAACATTTCGACAGAGTGAGGAGTTTCATAAGGTGATTCTTGGAATGTCATAAATCTTAAAACATTGTTTGGTAAGTTGTCCGTAACTGAGACTCCTTTTTTGTCAATGTATCCTATTTCCCAATTAAACTCCAAGCCAGCCAGAGTTGTGAATTCGTTACCCTGTTCATCGTAGGCTCGTACTTCAAATGCTTCTGGTGCCTCTTCTATAAATAGTTCTCTGGTAGTTGTAACCATAGCTAGAGAATGTATGGCGTCGACGATGACGTCGCATCGCAGAAAGTGTCCGGACTCGACATCTTCGGCGAGAACTATTGCCGTCTTTCTCGTCGGATCTCTGGTGACGGTCTGTACGATCACCTCGATCGAGCATGATTGATCGTAATCCTCGTTTATTGGTATCAAACGAATTATATCGGGTCTAGATGTCGACCTAAAATAATACGCAAAAAAATTGAAATGGTTTTCTCATTGTTTTTTAAGTTGAACAATTTTTGATTTACAAAGATGAGTTTTTGTTCCATCTTAAAAACGTTAATTTTCAAAATTGGCAAACAACTTAAAGTAAGGTTATGTTTTTAAACAAAGTTTCATGCCGATTAAATTACGATTAATGTTTGATAGTTGAAACTTCTAGTGTTCGATGATCGTTGAAAGACGACTAGGTTGAACAACGGGGTAGATTTCATTCATGAATCGCAAAATAGAGGGGCTAACTCACCAGCGGTAGCAGCCACCCTCGGTAACTTCGAGAGTAAAATTCACTGGGAAATCATTGAATACGGGTAGCAAGACTCGGGGTACGTTCAAGCGATTGGCTTCCACCTGGAATGATAGCAAAAGCACCAAAACAACACTCAACGCGGCCGACGTGAAGGTTGATTTTGCGGAAGCTCCGCGCGAGCCCGCCATAATTTTTTTCGTTTTTTTCGCTCGCCGCGGCTGAACTCTTATACAGTCTCACGGTATCACAGAGCAGTCCACATTGGAGACTGAATCGCTGCTGGCTGTAAGCTCTCCGCAGTCCGCAGATATGAGATCAGCGCGTGCAAATAATAAGTAAGTATACAAACGGCCGTGGCGCGCGAATTCTGGCGGTATGTGCGTGCGCTATACTACACACTGACGATGCTGCGTGTGCTTTTGTTTTTGTATGCGCCGGATAACATCGAGAAATCTCGGTTCTCTGAATCTCCCGATGATTGAGACGGAGGTGATCACAAGGACAACGTAATTGATAAATGATATCATGTTTCTACAATTTGATTATCAAATGCCATCAAGTTTTTTGATATGGTATTCGAATACACGCATTTTCAATCGGCTGTTGTTTTTCGATGAGTATTATTTTTAGGGAATTCATGGCGCTATTTGGTGAAGACAACGTGAACTTTGGTGTCGAAAAACAGGTTTCGTAAGTAATCTCTCGGTTGATCTTAAGTTCGCATAAATAAAAAATTAATCAGTTTGTATCTACCCTGCAATCAAAACATTACAATTGCAGATACCATACGATCGATCAAGTTCTGAATGAAAGGTAATTAAATTTATTCATAGGACATTTGCGAAAAATGAGTTGCGGCGTAATTTTCGGTGCGTGTGTCTCATTTTTTAAATTTTTCATTCCACTCAAAACGAAGTCTTGAAGTCGAAATAGATTAGAAAATATGAACCTGTCTATACAATTTATACTTCTTTTACCCAAAACAACATGATTCGAAGATGGTGGTTTTATTATAATATATTCGTCGTGGTATCTTAATTTTAAAATTATGATCTTTACGAAAAAGTCTCATTGTAAGAAAAATGTATAAAATTATACAAAGTGTGCATCGAAGAAAATTTGGTTCCGAATTTCTTTCATGAAAATGAAAGTCTCTTAAGACTTCTAAGGTTATTTGTAATTTTGTGTATGAAAATGAAAACTTTCGTGTTTGAATTTTTCTTTGAAAGTCATATATTTAGCCAAGAAACAAATGTGGATTTTAAAAACTTTTTTAAATCACGTTAATTTTTAAATTTTAAAATAAATACTATTTTTGTCAGCTTTTTGACAAAATAAAACAAATTTCTGGACAAGCGTGTTTAAAATCAGCTTCCGCCTTCACCCATCATGTCCCGTAAAGTAGCATACTGGCTTAGATCGAGAAAAGAGAAATAAAACTCCTTTCCGGACTCTTCTATTATTCCCGATCTGCACTGTAGTTATCGAAATTGAGTTCTTCGGATGTCAACAGGTGGCATCACGTACGCGGCGGTCTTCGCTTGTTCAAGTGAAAGTTAAATTCGTCAGTTTGACGAGCGCAGCCGTTACGATCGGATGTTGTGTCGTCTCTCAGTGAAAAGTTACTTAGTTCGCCAGTCGCAGCTCACAGAACGCAACCATCGCAGCAGAAGAGACCCACGTGGCACGTGCAGCATTGCATCATTGCGGTGAGACGGCTAAACAACGAGACCACAGATTGTTGTATGTTGATAGTGATTCGTGAAGTGACATTAAGCGTGCAGTGATCGATTGATAAAACAATCATACATCGATAAGTTATTTTCGTCGACAACAAAACCGTGTGCGACGTCGACAAAAATTAAGTTTGAAATATGTCGAGGTACATCGAAATTCCCTTAAGGGATACAAATGAGGTAAGAATAGTTTATTTTTTAATTTTCAACTAAGCATTTCGGATGTCATTTATTCTAAAAAACAAATTAATTATGTAGATTTGATTTTTCGGTATTGGTGTGTTTACATCTTAAAATCCAATGATTGTTTATTTCATAATATTTCATTAAAACCAACTACAATTTGAAGATTTTTGCAAATTATATTTTTATTGTATTACTAATGAAGTATCGTTGAATTTTCAAAATTTTCGATTTGTAGTTATTAATAAATGAATGAATTACACATTCATATTCACATAAACATGAGATAATAGTAAATCATAATAAAAATCGAGATGAAAATCATCAAATAATTTTTAACTATTAAAAACATGATTGAAAGTAATTTATTTTTATATGTATTACAGGTCATTGAACTAGATTTGAATAATTTACCAGAAGGAGATGAAACACTTTGCATTCTACAACAAGAAAATGCACAACTTAATCTGTGGATCACTTTGGCTTTGGAGTACTATAGATACAGAAAATATGATGACTTTGTTAAAATTCTAGAAACAGCTAGAACCAGTGCTAATCATGAATATGCTGATATTGAAAAAGACCAAATGCAAGCTTATGACATGCTTGCTGCTTTTTATGTGCAGGAAGGAAAAAAGAAAAAGGATAAAGAAAAAAAGAAAGAAAGTTATCAAAAAGCAGCCTTGCTTTACACTACAGCAGATAAGATAATTATGTATGACCAAAATCATTTGCTTGGAAGAGCTTATTTTTGCCTAGTGGAAGGAGGCAAAATGGATCAGGCAGACGCTCAATTTAATTTTGTCCTTAATCAATCACCAAATAATATTCCATCTCTCCTTGGAAAAGCATGCATTGCTTTTAATAAAAAGGATTATAAAGGAGCCTTAACATTTTACAAAAAAGTTCTTCGAACCAATCCAAATTGCCCTGCAGCTGTTAGAATTGGTATGGGTCATTGTTTTATGAAACTGAACAATCTAGAAAAAGCGCGTGCAGCATACCAAAGAGCAAGAGATTTAGATCCCAGATCTGTGGAAGCATTAGTTGGTCTTGCCATTCTTGACTTGAACGATCAAAATCCAGGAAATGATGAAAACATTAAAAAGGGAGTAACAAAATTATCAGAAGCCTACAGATTTGATTCTACAAATCCAATGGTTTTAAATCACTTGGCAAATCATTTTTTCTTCAAAAAGGATTTTGATAAAGTCCAGCAATTAGCACTTCATGCATATCATAATACTGAATCTGATCCGATGCGCGCAGAGAGTTGTTATCAATTAGCTAGATCATTTCATGCTCAGGGTGATTATGATCAAGCATTCCAATACTACTATCAATCAACACAGAATGCTTTACCCTCTTTTGTGCTTCCTCATTATGGATTGGGACAAATGTATATATATCGAGGAGACAATGAAAATGCAACGCTATGTTTTGAAAAAGTACTCAAAGCCAATGCTGACAATTATGAAACTATGAAAATATTAGGCTCGTTGTATGCTAACTCATCGGATCAAACAAAACGTGATACAGCCAAAACTTATTTACAAAAAGTGACCAAGCATTACCCAGATGACGTAGAAGCATGGATTGAATTAGCTCAAATTTTAGAGCAAACTGATTTGAAAAGTTCTTTAAGTGCTTACGAAACTGTTATAAAAATTTTAAAAGAGAATGTAAATGAAAAAGACATTCCTCCAGAAATAATGAATAATGTTGGTGCATTACTCTATAGATTGCAGCGACTTGATGAATCCCGTAAACATTTTGAAGAAGCTCTCACTCAGTTGAAAGATTATACTCAGCAAGATGAGAGCTATTATAAATCGATTGCCATTACAACAACATATAATTTGGCTCGAGTTTATGAAGCTCAATACATCTATGACAAGGCTGAAAAATTATACAAAGATGTTTTGAAAGAACATCCAAATTACATTGATTGTTACCTAAGATTAGGATGTATGGCTCGAAATAAGGGACAAATTTATGAAGCTTCAGATTGGTTCAAAGAAGCTCTGAGAGTTGACAATGAACATCCAGATGCTTGGTCATTGCTTGGAAATCTTCACTTGGCAAAGCAGGAATGGGGCCCTGCTCAGAAGAAATTCGAAAGAATCCTAAAAAATCCTAACACAACAAATGACACCTACTCATTGATTGCTCTTGGCAATATTTGGCTTCAAACTTTACATCAAGGCGGTAAAGAGAAAGAGACACAAAAACGTCATCAAGATCGAGCCCTGGAATTATTTAAAAAAGTCTTGAAACTCGACGAAACTAATATATGGGCGGCAAATGGCATTGGCTGCGTTTTGGCTCATAAAGGATACATAAATGAATCAAGAGATATATTCGCTCAGGTCCGCGAAGCGACTGCAGATTTTCCAGATGTATGGTTGAATATTGCTCATATTTATGTTGAGCAAAAGCAGTACGTCAGTGCAGTACAAATGTACGAAAACTGTTTGCGAAAGTTCTACAAATTTCATCATGTAGAAATTCTAGTTTATTTAGCAAGAGCTCATTTAAAGGCTGGAAAACTTCGAGAAGCTAAAATGACTTTGCTGAAGGCTCGACGCATCGCTCCTCAAGATATGTTGCTCTTGTATAACATTGCATATGTTTTACAATTGTTAGCAACACAAATCTTAAAAGATCCAAAAACTAAGTTGGAAACTGTACAGCAAGCAGTGCGGGAACTTGAATTATCGCATAGATATTTCAAATATCTACATGAGACCGGTGAGCGCGTTAAACATATAGCTGAAATCGAGGCAAGAAAATGTCAAGATTTATTGTCTCAAGCTCAATATCACGTTAAGAGAGCTATTAAACAATATGAAGAAGATGAGTTGCTCCGTAAGAAGCAACAAGAGGAGAGATTGGCATTGAAACTACGCCAAACGGAAGAACAAAAGAAATTGGAAGAGATTCGTCGTCAGAAAGAGGAAGAACTACTTCAAAAGAGACAACAATTTGTTGAGAAAACGAAGAATGTTCTTAGCGATCTGAGTGAAATGCCCAAAGAGAAAGAAAAGCAGAACAAAAGGAAAAAGGGACAGTCCGAGGAGCAAATCAGTGGAAGCGATTCTGATAACGAGGGCGACAAAGAAGAACGACGAAAGGCCAAAAAATCAAAGAAACAAGTCGATAAGGAAAGAAAATCTCGCGGAAGAACGAAAAAGAGCAAGGACAACGATTCAGACGATGATAAGCCGAAGCGCAAGCGTGGAACAAAGGGTTCAAACAAAAAGAAAGAGACTTCCAAGAAAGCATCCCGTCAAGAACTCTCAGTGCCAAAATCTCGAATTATTTCGAAGGAAACAATCTCAACGTCCGAGTCGGAGAGCGACCACGAGCGATCGCAGCTTAGGAGCGATAACTCCGGTGACGATAGCAACACCGATAAAGGTCGCAACAAACGTCGTCGCATTGACTCGGACGATGAAGGTTCAAAATCCAGGTCCGTGTCACGATCTCGTTCGAGGTCCGGTTCACGTTCAGGCTCAGGTTCTCGTTCAAGAGCGGGCTCTCGAAGGTCCAAGTCAGGATCGAGATCGGTCTCAAGGTCAAGGTCAAGATCGGTTTCACGATCAAAATCAAGATCGGTCTCAAGATCAAGGTCGAGATCGGTTTCACGATCAAAATCAAGATCGGTCTCAAGATCGAGATCGAGGTCCCAATCTGGATCAAGATCGAGATCAGTCTCTAGGTCAAAGTCCCGTTCGGGATCGAGATCAGTCTCAAGATCGAGATCCCGTTCTGTATCAAGATCACGCTCAAAATCTCGCTCAATATCAGGCCCCCCAAGAAGTCCTACCGACGGCACGCCTCCATCGAAATCAGTATGCTCTCCTCGTTCCCGCTCCAACAGTGGTTCTCGACGCAGCCGATCAGGATCCAAGTAAAGCTGTTCAATATATCTCTGTGTTACCCCCGTTCATTACTAAAGGACTTCGAGGAAAAAATCATGTCTACATTCAGATCAGATTCAAGAAGTTCTTAGCCTTATTTGTAGTCTAGTAAAAGAAACTTCAGTTAACCGTTTACTTTATATCGTCATAACTAATAATCATATGCAAAAACTATATTTGATGTATAGTTGTACGACAATACCATGTTACTATTAATTACCAAAGCTTTAGTTAAACAGATGTAACTATATTAAGACTGTTACTAGTAACTGTTCCGATGTGAGTGATTGTACTTGAACCACATGTTTGTAAATAAATAAATGTTATTTTTTAAATAAAAAAATATTCAAATAAAAAATATTCTCATTGTTCAATTTTTAAACTTATAAATCATTCATTGATGCTGTACTATAATTACGTATCTCTTTTTCAAAGTTACCACTGTTTCGCAAAAAATAATTATCTTTTGTACAATAAATGAGTCATTTTTGTAATTAAACATTCATTGTAATAATTATTCAAATCAATTTTCCCAAATTCCCTTGTGCGGTAAACTGAATAATCTTTCTTGACAGATTTGTGACAGATTTCCGCTTGTCAAGTTCAAATCAAATCTAATAAAACTCTGCAGATGTCTCTGCTTTACCGCAATATGCATTTATGAGCCGCCGACGCCACTAGTTTTTATTCGCGTTAAAACTCCCATTATAAATATTGCTTGTTACGTGGAAGGCTTAAAGAAGCCTGATAAAATCACATTGTGTATGTGGTAAACATATGCATAAGATATAGAACTATAATGTTATTGTCTTTGATGGTTATGGGACAAAACATTATAAGTATTATCTGGAAGAAGTAACAGCGTGCGTGTGGTCGTTGATAAAAATATGCTTTATAAACTTCGATTTGACATATTTTGTTAAGAAATCAGTGCCATTTGTAGTTTTTATTGTCATTAAAATAAGTAAAACTAGAAATAACTTACAGTTTTATAAATAATTGTATTCTCAAGACCAAATAACATAAAGTAATGAGTATAGATAGCATGAGAGTTGGAGGAGGACGTTGTCCTCCCTTTTTAGTAATAGGACTGAGTGTTGTTTGCATAATGATGATATGTAACTGGTGGACACTGTCCTCGACAAATTTAGAACTACTTCATCAAATCGACGAATTGAATGAGCAGATAAAAATCAGGTAATTCCCTATTATTTATACCCAGTGTCCTGGATATATTGCTATACAGTAAGTACTAACAATTTATTTTTTGTATAGCGTCGAAGAAAGAGATCAGTGCGTGACACAAATAGAAAACTCAGAAAAGAAACTTAAAACATGTCAAGATAAAGCTGTAACTAGTCTTGTGAAGAGCTCACAAAATGAAGATCTTTTCAACATTTGTAATACAGAACTGAAATCATTGAAAGGAAATTATGAATCTGCATCTGCAACAATGGAGGCTATGAAAATGGAAATCAAAACATTAAAAGTAAAATCTGAGGTAGATAACAAAAAGAAAGAAAAAGAAGTTGACCAGCTTAAAGATGAATTGACAAAGGTAGTTCTTTTGATACATAAATAAAGCAAGTAATTTTATACACATTATTCTCATTTATTCGTTGGTTATTTTAGGCCAAGGAAGAAGTAGAAAAGTTGAAACTTACGATAAATGCCCCACAACCGAATAAAGTTCCAGATTTACCAGCTGGTGAGTATTAAAAGTTTTTTTATGAATTAAAAAGTTTTGAATCTTCAAAGCATTCTTCGGCTTTGCTACTTTAGCACCACGTAAAGTGGTAAACAAAGCACAATTGGGTCCAGTATTGAAATCTTCTGTGCACGTTAAAAACCCTGGACAAGAAGGTTTAAAATTCCATGGAATTCCAATTTTACCCCAAGATCCACCTGGTGCCATTAGAAAACCACCCCGTTTTTCTGTTTTAAATGCAAAACAGTCATTAAGTAAAACGAAAACTAGATGAAAATTACTATCCATCAGATTAAAAAGAATAAATCTTGTATTATAAATAAAAATGTTGCGTGAATTGTTTTATGCGCCAATTTTTTTTTCATTTATTCAAATTTTATACTTGTTTCTAAAACTTTTCAATAAAGTTTTTAAAAATTAAATTTTGATCTTATCGATGATTATTTGTGCTTACAAAAAAACATTTTTCATTCATGATTTGTGAATTATTGAAAAACGCCTGATTTCAGCCCATCACCAGGAAAAAAATCAAGCTGAAAATAAAACGACAGCAGCAAACGTAGCGCCGATCCCTCAAGAAAACATTCAGCCTAATAATGTTGAGCCTCCAATCCAAGATTTTCAGGAGAATAGCGCCAACAAAGGTATTATTTTGTTTGAATATAAAATATTAAAAAAGGACATGTATTTGAAGAAAATTATTGAATAAATCTTTTGTTTTCAGAAGATAACGCAGCTGAAGTCAATGATCAAGCTGAAGAAATGATGTCCAATTTAATACCTGATGTGAATAATAAGCCATTGAAGGACAGTAAAAAGTAAAATAAATCTATTTGATTACTCATAAACGATTAAATATCGTTGTTCAACTCCATGACTCAATTAGCAGTAAGCAATTTTTGGATTTTGAATATTTCCCTTAGAGATGTTTGAAAAAAAAGTTTAATTATAAACTGCATTAAATGCATTTAAAAAGTTGTTATTGTAGGAAATGCTGTGATTAAGTTATCATTGCCATTTGTATGGAAATTCCGTAAATGGCATGATTTCAGTATAGGTTTTTCAAAATTTTGAATTTCTAAAAGTTCATGTGACGTCTATTTTCTAGTCTTTCTTTCTAAATCATATGATAAAAATGAAAAATTGTCAAAGATATATTTACATTCAATAATGTATTGCTCTTTATTTTTAATGCATTTTGCAACATTTTTAACTTAAAACATCTTACAAGTTGTATACATACTTGTACTTTTTGGTCGTAATATTAAAGTTGTTCCCACGAAAAAGTACCGCGATTCTGCTACTATTATTATCATAAATAATCGACGAGTTTTGTGTATCTTCCAATCAGAACATTGTCTCCAATAGTACAATATTGTTGTTCATACACCGAATTGACATTGTGGCAAAGAGTGTGTTCGGTATAAGTACAGTTGAAATAATTTTTACTCATGAACTTGTCAATAGATCAAAGGTAAATTACTGTCAGTATGTCGACTACAAATGTAATTAATCGAACGTTTTGACTGCCTGCAAGAAAAGTAGTATTCTTTATATTTTTGAAAACAATCGAAGTGTATGGAATTTCCAATATCATTTCCAATATCATTTTTTTGTGGTATCTAAAAGATTTTCTGCATACACAATAAATATATTTTACAGGTAATATTTTTGTACATAACTAACAACGCATCGACAACTTTGATAAATGTATACATTTTTATCAATTTCTTGATACAACAAAAGGGCTTCAAACCAAATTGTTACTCTTTCTTTCTGTATTAAAAATTTGTAATTATAAGCAGTCTGTTTCTTAATTTCCTCTAATTTTTGTGTTTAGGATTTAGCATTTATATGTAATCTTATTTAAAATGAAAAAAATCATATCACTACTTGTTGAAAAAAGTATAAAAAGATAAATAAGTAATTAATCAGAAAATTTAAAGTAATAATAAGTGGCAGTATCGGTAGAAAGTCGCAGACATTGAAGAAGTCCGATGACAATTGTTTGATTATCGAAAGATGATCATTTTTACAGGAAATTAAAATTTTCATACTTTCGTCGTAGATAGATTGTCGCAGTTTGTTTTCACAAAATATAAATTGGAATCTTTTTCAAGTCTGATGAAAATACTCGAAAAAATCGTAATTTTGATTTTTTCCCCTGTGAGTTTGATTTGATCCATTGTAAAAAATAAAATAAAATAAAAATAGCGTATAGATATTGGATGAGTTTGAAAGCTTAGTATGTCACATCGATTATGTGATCACTTCCACTAAGTTGGATGTATCGTAAAAAAAAATGCAACAAAAAAATCAAACGGTCATTTCGTTTATCTTGATTTTTGTGTTTTCGTATTGATAAAAAATGCAATATCTGACTAGGAAAAGTAGTTTTTGTAAGTAGTGACTAGATGGTACTTTGATGTGTGTATGCATGCGTATTTTTTTGTTTCACTACAGCTCACATATAATAATATTGTATATATTCTATAATATATAATTTGAAATCTCTCATTTCGCGTAAGGGGTCATCCTTTATAATGATCTACAAAATGTATAAATCATCTCTAAAATTTGGCTATTATAGGATTTTCTTTACAAATATACAATAAAAGGCCGTTTTTTTTTCTCTTCACTATATCGTAAGGGCAAGGTATCTCATAAACGTACTCTAAGATTTCATAAATGCTTTGAAAAGGTATCTTTCTCCAGCGAAAGAAAAATACCGTAAACGCGCTCTTCTCCATTCACGATCATAACAAAATAATTTACATTTTGGTTTAAATTTTCTTTTCATTTGTAATAACATCGTCTAGAAAATATATCAAACATAATTCATCTATATTAAGCGTCTCATATAGGGTGCATGTGAAAGTGTCCCTTAGTTTATTTTCCGCCTCACCCCACGCCCTCCCCTAGATTGCTTTTTGAATCAAATAAATAAAGGGACACTCTCCAGTGCTTACTTTTTGTATATACAATTTTTAAAGCATCGTCAACGGTTATATATCGACAAATCATCATGTAAAAAACGCGTGTGTCTCTCTGCCCGCGGCGCCCTGCACCTACAAAAACCCATAACGAAAGACGGGGGGAAGACTACTATTGTGTCTAACTCATCGATTTTCGTTGTGTCTCAACAGGTTGTAATAATACGTCTCGTGTTTCTCCTATATATAAACGTGTAAATACGCGCGTACGTGTAATTCAGGGAGGAGAGGGAGGCCGCGCGCCCTCGATGGACCGGCGCTTCTTGCGGAAGATGAAGGCGAACACCGAGCGTATCCTCCACCAGCGGCTACGCTTGCGGGGCGAGATCCGCGACGACGACGCGGAACTTATCGAGCGCTCTTTGGCGCGTATCTGCCTGACGAGCGAGTGGAAGGCGTCGTCGATGAACTGCCTCAGCGCCGCCGACGTCTCGTAGAACGGACAGCCCAGTTGGGCGGCGAGACTGCGGCCCTCGTCCGTCGTCACCTCGCGCCTCGGCTGCAGGTCGAATTTGTTGCCCACCAGGACCAGGGGTATGTCCTCGTTGGCGCGCACCCGAGTGATGAGCTTGCGATACTCGAGGACCTCCTGGAAGCTGTGCCGATCGGTGACCGAGTAGCAGATCATGAAGCCCTCGCCGCAGCGCATGTACTGGTCGCGCATCGCCGTGAACTCCACCTGGCCGGCGGTGTCGAGGATGTCCAGTAAAGCCGCTTCGCCATCGATCACCGCTTGCTGCTGGTACGAGTCCTCTGTGAAATTCGACGCATTGTGTATTACTTTGAAAAAATGAGTTTTTGCAACGAGAAGCTACAATGCTGTACCAATCGTTGGGTCGTGATCCTTGAGGAAGCTGTGACTGACGAATTGCAGAGTTACCGCCGACTTGCCCACGCCGCCCTCGCCGAGGACGACGATCTTGTAAACCCTGAGGCCGCCTCTCGTTGTCGGCTGCGCAATTATAGGAATGTCGTGTCTGCATTCTGCAGTCTAAGAAAGACAAAAAATAATGTGAAAAGCTCGACTTGCGATACTCTACATCAATAATCGATGAAACAAATATTCGAGCTTGGCTGCGAGCGACGACGCAAAATCATCGAGTCGCGTCGCGCCGCGTGCAGTCAACAACAAATTGACAGAGTAAACAATACACGATATATTTATAAAAAAAAATCAAGTCGAGCAATCTCTCACCAGATAAGTATTGAGGCCTCGATCCAGCACGACGTCGGTCATAATAACAACGCGCTCGGAGCTGCTGCTGCTGCTCCGATCAATGGCCCCTTAATTTATGTATTTTAATTGCGTGCCTATATCGAGCGAGAGAGAGAGAGAGAGCGAGCTTGTAAGCACGAAAGCTCCAACCGAGTAGTGCACACTTATATTTCACATAACAATCGAAACTCGCGTGCCGAAGAGAATCATCGCGCTCGCGCCGACGAATTATTCGCACGTCGATCCATCTCTCTGCTCCACACGCTCGCTGGGGCACTTGTGCTAATATATAGATCTACTGCGAAGCTCCTCCGCTGCTGCGTCTCGATATCGAATCGTCATCTTCACGGAAGACGTACTTACTCGCACTTATTATATCCCCCAAAAATAGGCCTCTTTTTTTTCGTCTGTGTGTGTGTGCGTGCGTTGTTTGTCGCGCGCGCACGGAGCAGCTCGTGTGTTTGCTATGTAACGAGAGACGACGCGACGCGATCTATTGCGAGGTAGGTATATTTTTTGCACGCTGTGTACTCTGTGTTGAGTTATATAGTACTACTATATATCGAGCTTCGCATAGGTCGAGCAGCAGCAGCAGCAGCAGCAGTACTACCGTGTCAGTGTGTACACACAACTGCTGAGTGCTGCTGCTGCGCGTAAAATACTCTACTCTGCGCGCCTCCTCCTACGCGCACCGAGGAGGAGAAGAACTGGAGCATTAAATATTATATATATCGTTGTTCTCTAGCCGCCGTGGCGAGAAAAAGCTCGCGCTCGCGCTCGTCTCGTTTACGCGCGTGTGCGGGAGAATCATCGTACGTGTGTGTATTTGTGTACGCAGCATTGCGACTGCCTGCCAATATATGGGCACTGACATGTAGCTGCGTGAAATGGACAAGTTGGAGCGAATAAAGACCTATTAAAAGAACACGTTTTAGTTCGTGTACCAACTGGCAATTGCGATCGATACATATGGCTTTCATAGTTTCCAATACCGCACCTATCGATATTAAATAAACTGCACATCTGTTATTTGTTCTCTCTTTCTCTTTTTCGAACAGATAAATCAAATCTATTTATTCTTCAACTTTTCAATCTCTAAATGCTTATCAACTATTTACACACTTATGCACCTTCATCTCGCGTGCAAATTTTAAATGTCCCCCTGGATTAGCGCGCGCGATCTATCGGTGTGCCGCCGCGGTTATCTTGCGGCGGCGTCGCTGTCAGATAGCCCCCGCACAGATGACAATCAGCTGACGCTCGAGCTCCGAACTATACATAGATATACATAACTCCACAGCACGCACACATAGTTGTGTGTGTCGCGCGATTGTGCGAGTTGTTCTTTGTTCTGTACAACTCGATCGCGTCCACCCTCCACATATAGCTGAGCCGTGCGTGCGGTGCAGTGTTGCTGATCGCGTTCCGAAATCGACGCATCGACGACGCGCGCCCGGACGACGACGACGCTGCTGCAATGTGATAATTAAACGCATTTAATGCCATGTAAGTGTGTGTTTGATTGTAAGATTTGTGGGTGATCGGGTGATCGAGGGGAACGATGCACTGCTTTATCGCTCTCCTCCTCGGCTACTGCATGAATTTCGGCTTTTCGAGTGATTCTCATTGTGTATACAGTTTTAATCTTATCCGCGAGTGTAAAATGTAAGCCGAAGCGATTACTCGCTCTCTCTCTCTCTCTCTCTCTCTTACTCGCGCGCTTTGTGATTCATTCTTTCTCTATTTTGTTTCTGAATCATTATCAATTGTTGTATATGCATAGCCACGCTCTGTACACACGCTCAACACTCTCCGATGCTTCATAATATGTAGGTCAGACTCATCAACAGGCGCGACGACGCTTCGTTCTCTGCGACAGCTTGGCGTGGCTAATCTACATTCATAATAATGCAATGTAAAACATTTTACAGATGAATGTCATCGACGCGTAACGTCGTCGCGAAATCATGTCGTCGAGCAGCGCGGCTCGTAGCACGGCTAGCCTCGTCGACGGCCTGAAGCTCTCGCCCGAGCTCGTCAACGTCTGGACGGGATGGATTGCCCTGGGAGATCGAGAGATCGTCCGCGAGGCTTCGGCCAAGGGACTGCACATAGAGCTGGCGCACAAGTTTCTGGAAAAGAGGAGGAACTGCACACCTCAGGAGGCCAGGATGTACTTCAACAAGGAGGTCGAGATATGGGTGAATGGATTGTTGAAGAAAGGACAGATTCACAGAGCTTCGCACGTATTGAAGAATGTGGTTGGTTCAATGAATTTCTTTGTTTGCGAGTTGTTTCCAGATGAGATTTTGTTAATTTCAATTTTATTTTTTCAGGGAAAAGTTCCTGCTGATTATATCAAAACAACCTGCATGAACTCTAAGGATTCTGGACTGAGAAATTTTCTGGCTAAACATGTAGAGTCTTTGTTCACCATTGAAGAAAAGGAAGCTTGGAATATGATTCACTTGATCGCTGAACATGAAAGTGATTTAAAGTATGTATAATGTACATTGTATATGTCAAGCATAATTGTGTATAGGTACTACTTATCGATGTACTGTCTATTTTAGATTGTCCGACAACTTGTTGTCTCAAGAAAATTTAGAAAAAATATTGAAATTGCCACAAAAAATAAAAGATGCACTCTACACAGAATTATACTTTTATTGCTACAAACCAGAAATTGTTGCTTACTTGAAAGATAATGTTGTTTGGGATTACTTGTTAGCCAATAACAAGCTTGATTTGTTAAAATTTTGGATTGATCTTTACTACAGTAGTGACAAATCATTGGATCTGAGCAGCAATTTGGAAAGAAGTGATATTCAGTTGTTACTGTCAACTTTAAAAATAACAAATGAAATGATATCTTCTATTGAGTCATCTAATGCAATGCCACTTGTAAAAAATGAAATTTTTAATTACTTGAGCAGGTATGAATTAACAAAAAATTTAATTGTTAATATCATTTCTACATGTACTTAATATATTTTAAATCTGCAGCTATGGTATATTCTCACCTTCAGAATGTAAAAATGCCAAATTAATTTTATCAAGACTTTTTGGGGAATGCTATACTTTATTTGAAATTCCGTCAATATTATTAAAAACAACGTGCAATGTAGAGAAAAACGACTTTTTCTCTAAAATTGACACTATTAGAATATCAAGAGATTATGCAGATACTGGCAACATCAGTGAAATCAATGTGAAAAATAAAGCCTTGTTTGATTCCATGAAAAAGATGTGCAGACATCTTACGACAGATGATATCAAAGATTTGGTAGAAACAGGAATAAGCGAAACCATAAATTATCTGTCCGATTGTACGACAACTTATTTAATGGAAAATCCTATTATTGCTTTTACTCTTATATTTCTTCACTACTCAAGACGCAAACAATCAACAAGTCTCAGAGAAATTTTCAATGACTGTAATGATTCGGGTATTCAATTGAAAACCATAAATTTATCAAAAAATGTTTTGGATTCTGTGATAAGTCAATTGTCGTATCTGAAATATGAAACAGAAACTAAAGCCGCCAAGAGTAGCATTACAATGTATCAGCTGCTGGATGGTTGCGAAAAATTTCAGTCGCCATTCTTTTTCAAATGGCGTTTTAAGCAAGCGAAAATGCTGGATTTCTCAAATGAAAAATTGGCCAAAAAGTATGGGCACAAAGAGCAGTTGAACTATATTTACTACCTGAAAGAAGCCCGACCTAACATGGCCATTAACATGCTCAAGCAAGATCGTTTAACGACCGGTGGCAGCTTATCTTCTACTTTGTAAGTTTCAGCTCCGCTTATCGATCGCTCGTAAAACTTGGCAAATAATTCTGATGATGAATTTTTTGTTTACAGAAAATCTCAAGTTACGCTACACGCGCACGTATTCGCGTTGCGCAACGTGAAAAATGTGGCCATCGTCAGTGGCTGCCTCGCGTTCATCGAGATGTTGGGCATGAATTCAGAAAATTTGAAGCTTCACGTCGCAGCGGCGAATCTCGTGCAGAGGGAATTGAACATTTGCATTGGTAATAATTTTTTAAGTAAATTTATTGCTTTTTAAATATTTTGAGACTTTATTAAGGTTTATTAACTTTATAATAGGCACAAATTTGGAAGCGATGATCTACAACAGCCAACAAGATCTCAAGCTCGTAATGAATTACGTCGAGCGTAGTTTTCATTCTAAATTAACGATTTCATTGCTTGACAACAACGACAGCTTCGTCGAAGCTCTGAAAAATTGGGATGTAATCGTACGTCTCGCTCGCATTCAAAACGCCAGTCTGCCAACGTCAATGCTCAAATTTTTGGCCGCGAACGACGCGTGGTTCGAGTTCGCTTTACTTGGTGAAATTTTCGCTTATCCCGTCAGCCAGATGGTCGAGTGCATTCAGCATTTCGACAGCACGAGTTTGCGAGAGCATCTCTTGCTCTCGCTGAAAAATCCTCAGCTGCTCGAAGACGCTTCGGTCTGCAAAAATATCTTGAGCGATCACAACGACGATTTGTGGTTGATGATACTCAAATGCCACGAGAGTCCGAATCCACCCGAGGCTCTGCGTCAAGCTGCGCGTCTACTCAAATCGCCTGTATTGATTGTTCTGGCCACCTGTTACGAGCCAACGTCCATCGCGTCATACTTCTGCACGTGGATCGTCATATCTACCGACAATTTGGAGCTCACTGAAGTTTATGAAGAATGCATGGAGAATCAAGTGTGGACGGCTCGCGATGTAGCGAGTCTCTATCGCGACGTTATTTCCCGCGGCTACGTGAGTACGCTGTTGCGAGGCTGGCAGATATTTCTTCCAGAAAATCCATTGAAGATGTTTGTGCAATATCTCACGCAGTGCATAGATTACTGCGATTTTGAGGATAGGCAGGGGTTCCTGGAAAATTTCATCGGAGAGTGTTTGGAACTTGAAAACAATGTAGGCATTTTTTTTCATAAAATCTTGGCATTATTGTAAAGAGATTTATTGTATAAATAAATTTAATTTCAGGCAATGATGGATTGGGAGTGCGATGAAGCTACTTATTGGCAAAACATCTACTGGATTCACTCAGTAGCAATCAATTGTATCATCGTGTCACTTGACGATTCTCTCGATAGCACCTACTCCAGACTTCAATTATTGACTACCCTGAAGAACGAGAATTTCCACACAAAACTTTCAGTAGATGCTCCGAATTTTGATCTGCTGCTCGAGTACACGAAAATACTCGCAGAAACTGGAGTAAGTTTGAATTATTCATCCTTCGATACCACCCTGAAAACCAATGATCCTGTAGCAGAAATCGAGAGATGCATAAACGAATTGCTCCTACTGCAACATTATCAATGTGCGTTGAAGCTCGCACAAACTGCTAATGTTAATGCATCAAGCATAATACTTGCACAGGTAGGCGTTATAAAAATATTTTATGCAATAGTACGACGAAAAATGTCTTTTTTCGCACATTTTTTAGTGCGCAAAAAGCGTTTTTGGACACTTGTGTGCGGTAAAATGCCTCATTTTGGACACGGGTGTGCGGTAAAACGTCTCATTTAAATGAACGTATTTTTCGCCTACTATTGCATAAAATTTTGTATGCAACACGTGCCCAGCTTTTTGCGCACAGTGTGCGGAAAAAACACCCACTCGTGCCGGCATGGCCGGCACTCGTGTCTTTTTCCGCACACTCGTGCCCAAAAACGCCTTTTGGGCACTTGTTACATAAATAACTATTCTCGAATCATAATACTAATACGATTGTAATTCTTCAGTGTCGCGAAGAGTTCCAACGTCACTCCAAGCAAGGTGGAGTAGTGACCAGCGATTTTTGGCAACGATGTTTTGACAACTTTGAAAAGTACGACGTGTGTCACGAGAAAGCCGCGGAATTCTTCGTCGAGCACGCCGAAAAAGTGAAATCGTACAAATCTCGGTACGAGATTCTAAAATTAGCTTCGGAGATACTGGAAAAAAGCTCGCAAGATCGGCGCGTGTGCGACACCGTTGAGATGGCCATGTGGAAATCGTGCATACTCGCCGGACCCGAGAACATTGACATCGAGTCTAGGGAACAGGTTTTCAGTAAATTGAAGACCGAACTGATGTCGAGCCTCAGCGGCTTACAGGTCAACTGTTCGCTGGTCGACGAGGCTGAAAAGTTAGCCGTCGAAACGTTGATAGGCCGCATGCTGGATGCCGGCAGGCTCGACACCGCTCTGAGGATCGGAGCGATTTTCAGTCACAGGAATAAAGACGTGCAGATTTTGATGCTGTGCTTGAGCTTGGCCGAGGGTGAATTATCGCCTTATCAGCTTTTCGCGCATCAAAGGGCATTGCTCTGCGATACCAAGCGACCGAAGCAGAGAAGCGTTACCCTCAAGAGTCTTGGATTACAGCGACTTCCATCGTCGAATTCTCGTAAGTATAGAGCTTTGCACTCGTAATTTAATAAATTGGCCTATTTACATGTTAGTTCGAAATTTTAGTGAATTTGTCCATTGAATCGGAGACGCCTCCGTCGACCGTAACAGCATCTACTATCGATGTATTGAAGCAAGAGAAATTAGACTGCCTATCTCTGCTGACGAACTCGGTCGAAACTTTGAACTACGGCGCTGACATCGGAATGCGCGTGCTGCTCTGCTATCATTTGGCTTTGCATTTGGGCAAAAATTACGAAGTTCTTTTGACGCACAACGACCCCATGCATCTTTTGCAAGAAGTCGTCGCTGGTACGCACGAGTGGAAGTTAGAAATCGCCCGTGACATCATAACGGCTTACCAGATAGAGAATCAGAAGGTCGCTCACTTTTTGGCCGACGAAATCGTGGCTCACATTACTCAAATCATCGAGGACGGCCAGAACGAGCCCACTGCCGCTTGGAACTATAATATGAATTTACAGTCCGTTATCGAGCTGTGCAAGGATACGTCTCTTTTGGGATCGAAACTGCTGGACATGGCTCGAAAACTGCTTGGTCACTCTCACGGTGAAAAGAGAAATCGTAGGTTTTTTCCTAATATTTGTGTTAATTCACTATAACGGCAAAAATGGTTTGTTAAATCGCGTATTTTGTTTAATTAGTCGTAACGCTGAAGATCATCGTGGAACTGTTGATTCGGTCGCATGACTGCTTCACGGCATCGTGTAACATGGAAGGCATCGCATCAGTTCTGAAAAAATGCCAGCAACTTGCCAACTCTCTGCAAAATTTGAAGCACTGGAGTTTACTTGTGCGATTGGTAACCGGGGTCGGCCGCTTCACCGAGATGAATTACATCTTTCAAATACTCAAAGAGCACGATCAGTTCGAGTTTTTACTTGGTCGAGGTTTGGATAAGGTAAATGTCCACATAATTGCGTTCTCTTTCTTACAATTGCAATTACTCAATCATTTTTTTTCACGTTAAATAGATACCCGGCCTAAGAATGGCGATGCTCGATTTCCTGAAACGCCATTGTCCGGAAAACAAAGACCTATTCAACATCGTCGCTCTGCATTTCCGGCTGTATTACGAGATCGCGCTAATGTGGGAAAGTGAGGCCAAGGACGTCATCAATGAACTGGTAAACGAAGCTAAAAAGGAGTGCGGAAGGGTCGTTTATAGTTCCAATGTCGAATTGAATTTCACGAGGAACGAGTCGACGGAGAAGAGATTGCAACTGGCCGTTGCCAATCTCACCCATGCCACGCAATATTTCTTACAGGATAACAAATTGAATTTAGCCAATCGCTGCTCGCATCAGGCGCAGCTCGTAGCCCTGCAGATATCTCTGTGCTCGAGGGCGAGCGTCAACGCGACTTTCCCGTGCCTGCTGAATCTCCAAGCGGAAGAAATCAATCGGGCCATAAGTCGACATCTAAGCTTCTCGCAGGCCCTAATAGTCGCTCGCGCCTACGATCATCACGTCGACTGGGCCAGTGCCATTTACCATCACTGCTTGATCAACGGCGAGAGCAAGTACCTGCGTGATTTCATCACTTCCAAGTGCCTGACGGCCTCCGTGGCCGTCGACTGTGCTCGTAGATATAGATTAGAGAAGACAATCAGCAAGCTCATGTCCGACAACATGCAAGTGCTCGTGGCCAAGGTCAACGACAACGAGTGCAAATACGTGCTGGCGAGCCAGTTGGGCTTCCGCAAGATCGTCGAGGACATGCTCGACGATCCGGCGGTCGGGGCTTACTTGAAAGATACGGTTTTTAGGAGGCGCTACATGGGCAATGAAATGCTGTGAGATTAATGTGATTACAATACTTTGATGCGTTTTTGATCTGAGTTTTTTTAGAAAACTATAATGTATTTGTTTACGATGCGAAGATTTTACAATAATACGTTGTAAACGTCTTCTAATTATTAAGCAAAAAAATTATTATGTAAAATATTACTTTGAAAGTAATTTTATAATTTGAACCGTTTCTTACTCTATTATTTAAAAAATAGTATGAGACAAGTCTAGGAGTTATAATTAATTAATATTACATGTTAAAAGTGTAATATAATGAATATGTACATTGAAAATCCGTGGATTTTGAAAATTTCGGGTATTTATATATAAAAGAGAATAGATTTTTATACAAGTACAGCTAAAGTAGCCTTTTGTAATGAAATTAGATACTAAATAAATTAAGTCTAGGTTTTTTTTCAATTCTCAAAAAAATGTGATCGCTTAAAATGTGACTAATAAAGTATATTTTTAAAATATATACGCAGCATTTTCAATTTTTTTTTCACGTTGATTTCAGGTCAGGGCCTTATATCCTGCGCACAACAAAAAAACCGTCATCTCATTTTCATCTACTTGATTACATAGGTACAGACTTGGCTTTTCCGTTTTTGTAATTCACTTCGTCATCGTAAAAGATTTCGCGTACGAGAGCGTCTGATACGCGATATTTTTTCTGCCGACGAGATTCGTCTTCTTATCGTTAAGCAAGCCTTTTGTTTGATTATTTTCCATTTGAACTTTTGGTTGACAGGCCTATAACATTATACGATTACGTTTTCTATCTTGAGCAAGTTGGAGAAAAGCTACATTTTATTGCACCGGCTTAATTAGAAAATTATACGTCTTTAAAATTTCACAATTTAAAAAAAAAAAGAATTTAGCTGCTTTTTTGCAAGAAATGTCAAAGTTATTTTAATTATCACCGATTCAGCGAAGCCATCCTTTGTCTTCAGAATAAAGGTAATGCATACCGTATCATTACGGCTTGATATTTAGTCCACTGAAAGACTTTTTAGAATTCTTCAGTTAAAATTGAATACCCGTAGAAATCATTGTCATAAAATTTGTTAAAATTCAACAGCTATTCAAATTCGCACATCACCATATTATTTTTAAAATAAAATCCCTTAGATACTTTTATTAGACCGTAGCTCAAAATATCATTGAAGATCATTGAAAAATATCATTGAATAAGGGCAGTATTTAGAAGCAAGGCGGTCAAGTATTTTTCAACGCTATCACTCCGCGCGATAAAAAATTTCATGTTTGAGAGAAAAAAAGAGAAGAAGAGTCGTTGCAGCACATGCGCTACTGCTCCCGTGCATGCAACACACTGCAGGCGACCTTGATAGTGTATTATATTTTCGCAGCTGATCTTCGCCGGACTCCGGCGGCGCATAGTTTTTAGTTTTGTTTTTGTATAAGCAGCGCGAGGCTGACGCTGCTCATGGCACGCGCTTAGTTAGCGCTTCGATCTCAACACAGTTGATTATACTTATACCAAACAAGAACGATATTCTTTTACCGCGTGCGTGTGCCTCGCGAGTACGGGGAAAAAACGCCCGACGCGAGAAAATATAAAGTAAAATGAAACCAGTTTTCTCGCCTGCATGTTGTTCCGTAGGTATGCCGTCGACTGCAAAAGAACGCGCATAATTTCATGTTGTGATGTGTGTATACAATCGGAAAGCCGCAGTGTGTGCAGTTAGCAGCATAAATAATAGTATATCTTATCGACGTTTTGAAGATTGAAAAGTCGATTGACCCCTACTCTAACTCTTGGCGGTCTGTCATAATTGCATCTATAGGCATACACACGAGCTTTCGTATATACCACGAAGCGAGCGATATTTTAAATTGTCTTATGTGCATGCACACGACTGTTCATGAAGTATTCGCGTGCGTTGGGTGGCACTCGAAAGACCCTGAGCATTAAACGAAAAATTTTATTTCAATAATTATTCGAATTTCACTTGCTTGAATGATCGTTGCAACTGCGTTATTTATGTGATGTTGTTTTGAAAGTTGGAAAACTTGAAATTTTAATTGCATAACATGTGTTTGTTTTTAGAAGAATTTGACAGAATATCACTGTTGTAAACTCATATTCCATGGATAGAGAAAATAAAGTATTTACAAAGTTATCTACACTAGAGAAGCTGTATCGTGTTCCACGAGTGATATCAAATACTGTTGAAAAGTTTTTTTACAAGTAAGTGTCATCAACAGAATACATTTTTATTGTGATAATTCAAAGTTAACAAACAAATATCTATTTTAGTCTAGGCTTGCAAATTGCCAAAAATCCTAGAAAATGGATGAGCGGATGCATAATTGTAATTATTGCCTGCATAGCTGGATTATTAAGATTCAGACAAGAAAAAAATCCTTTGAAGTTGTGGGTACCACCTGATTCAGATTTTGTACGAGACACAGAATGGTTGATGTCTACTTTCAAGGAAGGCCAACGCATAGAAAATTTTATATTTGCAGCTGAAGACATTCTTCAGCCAGATGCTCTAATGAAACTAAATGAAATTACATTACGTATTTTTAATGCTCAAACTAATTCACAACCAAAGCTCGGATGGACTGATGTTTGTTTCAAGTATGAATTTAAAATAATTTTTTCTTTAATTGTATGTATATACTATAATATACAATATTTCCTTACTTATAGAGTTCCAATTATTTCTGGTGTGAATGGTATGGGCACCAGAAGAAAAAGAGGAATGGATGATGATTTCTTTGACAATGAGCCCACAGTGGTAAATAAACCAGGATATGACGCTGTCGCACATCTACCTCCTGAAGTATTTTGTCCTATTTATAATAGTTTGGCAAAAGGATGTTTGTTATTTAGTATTATGGATATTTGGGAATTCAATAGCACTTTGATTAAGTCACAGACTAAAGAAGATATAGTTAGCAAATTTAATTCTGTAAATATTAGTCCCACCCTTGGGCATCCACTTAACTATAGTCAATTACTTGGTGGCATTACTAGAGACGAAGAGGGTCGCATTATTAGTGCCAAAGTCGTGAAAACACAGTGGACTGTTTACGTGAATTTTTCTCTAATGGACATGAATGAAATGGGTAACGACGCAGGTACAGCCGACTGGGTAAGGTGAATATAGTTAATTAATAAATAAAGCTATTTCGTCATATTCACGATCTGTTAAAAATGTTTTATAGTCGACGAAAGAAGTTCACGAATGGGAAGCGGTCTATCTTAAAGAGCTCGAGTCTGTATCGAGTAACATGAAAGGTTCTGATAGCAATTACTCTTTGTACTACGAAGCCGGTCGGAGTTTCGGTGATATTTCTCAAGACAGTATATTTCATGATGCCGAGAAACTTGCTGCTGGTATCATTCTTATGTCGCTCTATGTTCAGGTGGTACTTTCGCGATTCAATTGGGTCGAGTGGCGCGTAAGTATATTGCCCCAATAATCCAAATTGAACTTGGCTTATAAATTCAAACTTACATTATTATTTCAGTTCTGGTTAACGAGCGTGTCCTTGTTCAGCATCGGAGGAGCATTCGTTGTAGCCATAGGTTTATGCTCCTTGTTTGGCGTACCTTACGGACCGGTGCATACATCGTTGCCCTTCATGTTAATGGGTCTGGGTGTGGACGACACCTTCGTCATGATGGCAGCTTGGGACGAGGTGGCATCTCGTCAGGTCAATCTGAAGAAGCCGCTCGTCGAGAGGGTAGCTTTGACTCTGAGCCATGCCGGTGCTGCTATTAGTGTCACCTCTTTAACCGACGTCGTAGCCTTCGTCATTGGAGCATCGACTGTGAGTTCAATCTCGATAGTGATGACGATTAAAAAAACCTCGGAATTAATGTGATTTTCCGTGCAACAGATCCTGCCTTCTTTGAACTCGTTCTGTATATACGCCGCTGTGGGTGTCATGGTGACTTATCTTCTCCAAGTGACTTTTTTCGTGGCCTTCTTCACTCTCGACTGCCGAAGAGTCGAGCAAAAGCGTAACGGTGTCTTACCTTGCTGCGTCAGTCACCCCAATTTCGTACCCACTCCGATAGACGCTGAGCACAGCTTATCTTGGCGGCTGATCGATAAATTATTCGGCAAAGTTATACTTACTCTGCCCGGCAAAATAATCGTACTTGCTTTGACCGTTGGTTTCGCGACTTTCGGCGCGCTCGGCTCCATGCAACTGGAGCAATGGTTCGACCCAGTCTGGTTCTTACCCAAAGAATCGTACTTGGCCGAGTACTTGGTGGTCAAGCAGCAGGAGTTTCCGAAAGTCGGTTCCGAGGCTACCGCCTTCGTCAGCGAGGTGGACTTTCGCAACGAATTCGGCAAGATTCTCAATCTCAGCCGAACCCTCGAAGCGGCGAGTTTCGTCGACGACGTCAAGACGTGGCCGATCGATTTTGTGACATTCTGCGATGCCAACTTTAACGTCGACGCGGAAAACGCGACATTGAGCGAGAGCGATTTCCGACTGTATCTGTCCAAATTCCTGTTCAGCCGATCGGGTGGCAAATATCAGCGTAATTTTCACTTTGAAAAGCCACCGGTCTGCGGCCAACCGACGCCCAAGCTGAAAACAGTCAGCATCGATTTTACGTTCGCCCATTTCTCGGCGCCCTACGAGTGGATACCGGCCATGGACAACGCCAAGGAAACTATGGCTCAATTGGAATTCGACGGCTTGGCGATCGTATGGAGCGAGATGTTCGCCACTTGGGTCACAGACAAAGTCATCTCGCAGGAAGTCCTGAGAAATCTCATGCTCGCCCTCATCTGCGTCATGGGCATGACGGCATTTTTGATCGCCGAACCGCAAACCGTCGGATGGATCCTGCTCTGCGTGCTTCTGACTCTGCTCGACGTCTGCGGTTTCATGTACTACTGGGGTCTCACCATAGACATAGTCTCTTGCATCGGTAAGATTCAATCAACACCTAATTGAAAGTAATACCATGATTCACGCCTCGAGAGTGTCGGAATTGGCGATAATTAACGATCAGCACGCGATGCGACGCTTATATGCACGCGCGCGCGGCGCTCGCTGTACAATATGTAATTGGATTTTTTTTTATTGTAAGCGATTGATGTCTTATGAATAATTCAACAGGTCTAGAACTGGCTGTGGGACTAAGCGTCGATTACGCAGCTCACGTGGCGCATGCCTTTCTCAATGCGCACGAAGTGACGGGAGCGAAAAATCGCCTCAGCGAACGAAGCGCCAGGGCGTTGAAAGCTGTAAGGCATATCGGTGCTGCTGTACTTTTTGGTGCTGGATCCACCCTGTTGGCTTTGTCGTTACTGTCAACTTCGAAAGCTTACGTGTTCCGAGCTTTTTTCAAAATATTCTTATTGGTCATTGTCTTTGGTCTCTTTCATGGATTATTACTGTTACCTGTGGTACTTAGTACCATAGGTCCACGGAGCTTGAAGCGAAAATTAAGAGGGGTGAGTAAAAAAATTAAGAAGCTTATCATAAATTAAGACCATTACAATTTTGAACAGATAGTTGCGTTTTTTTTCTCGTAATAGCTCGCGTGTAATTGCGCTTATCATTCAATTAAAAGTTAATTAAGCATTGTCATACTTTGACTTGAACGTAAAACTTTCCAGTCAATTGCACTATATGCCACATTAACATAAATAGTAGACAAAGTGTAATACGATTTTCGTTTATTTTCAGGACGAATCTCTAAATGGTGGAGCACAGGAACTCATTGAAGCAGCCACAGTGCCTTTGAACAAGGAATAAGTTGATAAATGAATAGCCGAATTATTATTTTTATTTCTTCAATGATATTTATTTTCGGTTTTAATAAACATACAAAATCATGACACTATTAATAGCTATAAATTCACACATTTATACAAAAATAAGTAGCGAGTACGTCGTTGAAATGAGTTCGATGCACAAACGAGTTGTGATCTGAAAATCAAAAATTATTACATCGACGATGAAAAGAACCTTTTATCGATAATTCGAAAATAAGAGGGACGAAACATCCGAACAATTTAATTGTTAATGTGTATAATTTGAAGATGACATCATTCGATCCATCGGCGTGTGTGTAAACATTTACAATTATATATATATATTTTATATTTATATTTATATCATATGTTAAGATTACAAAACAAGTACAAAATAATTGCTTCGTCCAAGATTTTTATCCCACATTCATTATTTTTATTTGTTTTTTTTTCTCTTATTACGTCTTGCACAATCATTACAATTATGATCGTTCATTCAATTGTTTATTTATAATATATATATATAATTCTCCATTTATTAATATTAAATATCATCGATAATCTCTCACGCGAGCGGTCAAAGGAACACACATGAATATTTTTTTTGTCAAAGGAAATATCGATGTAGAATTCATATAGGTAAGCAGATGTATGAAAAACCAGCGATTTTTGATCCGTATCCAATTTCATCGAAAAAATTTCCATTTCTCATCCGTTCGTATATCACTAAGGGATATAGACATTGCGAACCGAATCAATTTTTTTCCAACGATAGCCGAAACTATTGGCAGGTGGAAAAAAAAAACTGTTGATATGGGCTGTTCGAATTTTAGTATATACTCAAGGGAGAATAAAGTGAAAATTTTCACGTATCGTACTTAGTTCGGTTGCTTTTCCTGCGTTAGATTTTTGTCTTTTTTCGCTTGTCTCTCATCTGCGATAATTATATTAGAAAATAAAAATTTTCAAATCGAAAATTTTTCATCTCACTCTGCCTATAACTTTTTTTTCGTACTCTTAATATACTTTACAAAAGAAATAGAAATACTTCAGGACGATACTTATAATTGAATTTGCTTTTAGAAGTTTTTACCTTATTCTCTTACATGTTTTTTTTCTTATCGAGGTACGAGAAGGGATTACTTTTCTTTTTCTTTGTAGAAATTCGCACAAGTTTTTTAGTATACTTATCAAAATCATGTTTAACAAAGATGTGCATCTCAATTTAGTTACTTTCGACACTGGAAGTGTGTATTTACTCGAAATGATGAAACTTATTTTATTTCATTACAGTCAAGTGTCGGAGCAGTGTATTTTCATTTTACCATAATGTAAATCAAACGATTTTACTTTCTTTTCTCTTTACACAGAAGAAAAACTCATTATTGCTTACACCAACCTATAATTTTTTACAATAAACGAATAAATTGCTACTGATCACAGTTTAATATAATAATATATCTGCTTTTTTTTTCAATGAAAAACTTCATATTACATATCGCTACAATCTCATAGGAAAAAACTATACTGAAATTAAATTTTTTATCAATATATACAGCGATATTTTTTTTATATTTTGGTTTATAATATGTTTATAACTGACACACTAAATATATAGTCATTTTTTCGAAATTAGTCTTGTGTTTGTGAGTGTGTGTGTGGCCATCTTGTTGCGATATATATATTTTTTTATATTAATGATTTGAAATTTCGGCATCAGGCATTATACAGACAATTATATTTTATTATTTTATATCTTGAAAATTAAGTTTTAGACTATCCTACTATGGTTATATTTTCATTACTCTTCGAGTTTTTTCATTTTCCATACAATTTTTTATTTGGTATTAAGTTATTTTAATCTGATGTTCTTGTTATTTAATTTTTTCATCATTGAAAAAACGAAAATTTTTATTATATGCCTATTTAAAGGAATAGACGTTATACACATATATATTTATTATATATATTTGTTTGTTTGTTTTTATTCTATTAATATATACATCACACGATATGCAATACCATATACACTCGAAGTCTTTTTCTTTTTTCATTTTGGTCGCTGATATCAGCTTTCTTGGGAAAGAGAAAATTTTTTCTCGATCCATTATTATATTTATTGTATGCGTGTAACGCAATCTGGGTTGTTTCTTTCAATCTAAAACAACGTGCTTAACATTAAAAACGTTAATGATTGTTTTTTTACTTGAAAATTACACAAAGAAAAATTTTCATTTTTCATAAAGTCCCTTAAACTATAACCCTAAGTTTAAATGTTCATTACACATGATTAATTATCGACTTAACATTCAAATTTTATTTTCTTAGTTTTATTCTAAGTTCGCGAGAATATGAAATTTTCAAAACTATTAGTTTTTTTTTCTAAGTTTAAGAAGATATTCAATATTCATTTTCCACTGGATTAAGTCATTAGTTAGTGTTATATGTGATAAAAACACTGTGATGGTTGTTTTAATAGTGTTTTTCAGTATCCCTACAGTAATTCATTTTCGATAAAATAACTTGACATTGTTTCCCGCATGCTCGGTGATAGCTTTTTGCACGTATTGTTCATGAGAAAAGAATTTCATTTTTCCTGTAAATGTCCATCAAATCTTTTCATTCCCAAAAATCTACCAGAGGCACTTTGGGGTTCTTTTAGTACCATTCTTTTATGTAGTTATTTTCATAAGTGGAAAACCATGGTAATTGGGGTCTTACTCGTTTCCTTTCATTGGTTGGTGCAATTATTTTCAATTTCTTTTATCATAATGCCCCTTTTTGTGCAACCCTGTCTGCCTAATTTTTCTGTACGCTTTTTTGACTGCTTCTGAATTAAAAGTGGAACAATAAATAAAGAAAATTATATAATATAGCTTAAGTATAAAAATGAAAATCAGGTAAAACAAAATAAAATGAAAATAATGTTTTTATAGTATTTTTTATGCATGAAACAGGACGAGAATCACTTACAAAACAGACGATTCTACACATTATTTCAATATCAAAATGTCGAGTTTCACATGGATTGTTCAGACGAATTCTAGCAGAATTTTTTTAGCGCTCGTTTTGTTGGCTCACATCGTTGCTTTCCATTAAACTTAGTTCGCTCAAGCTCGTATTGATAATTTTACATGAGTGTTTTACTCCCATAAATAGCAGATAAATATAATTATTATGTCTTATTTTATTTGTTCATTCGAACTCGAGCATACTTTTATATCATACGACTTCTTCCATTACCAAATTTGCACATGAATTGACATACAGACAATCGAATGTTTTCTTAGACGTCGATAAAAATTTTTTACAAAAACTTACGAGAAAAGGTAAAAAACGATTGTAAAATAATGGTATGGAATTTCACAGAAAACAGTAGAAAAACACATTTGCTATTTATAAAAAATTTATAATTGCACAAATAAACCAGTAATTCGTCAATATACAATTATTCAAAGCGAAAAATTTTTTCTCTATACTCCTTACAAGTATTGTACATGCATGTTTCATTCGATTAATTGTATTGATTAATAATTGGTATTGAATACTGTTATTATAATCATACATTACTCGTATAAAATTTCATTATCAAGAGTGAACAGCAAAGGTTTTGAAGTAAAAAAAAAAGAATCTGGAATTCAGATAAACAACACTGTGCATTCATATATTGGACGACAAAAATTAAAATTACAAAATAATAAAAATTGATACACTTCTTGGAAGCTTTCACAATTTTAGCGATAAAGCATAGTACACCGAGGTCAAATTTTATAGTTACTTTGAGAAATTAATACTTATCATCATTATGGAATTTGAGTTTACAGTAACGAAAACGTCACGTATATATTTGGAATGTGTTCTCGAAAAATAATACGGAATCGATGCAATATTTTTGCTTCACAGAATACAACACATAAAAAATCTAAATTTCTTAGAACTCGCGTTCAGACCTCGATGACTTTTTTAAGTTATAATGTAAATAGTACGCAAAAGTAGATAGATCGAGAATTGTAACTTGAAACCTTTTTCTTTGTTGGCAGCTATAGGTACATAGAAATTGATAGATGTGTTGAGGAAGCACGCGAAAAAACACTCAACACATTCGTCAGGTATCGCTCATAGAGAGACAACTTTCTGAGCCCCTAAATAACACGCACAATTAATTAGCTCGAGATATATTAATTAATTTCATTACGACTTTTCATATTTATAATAGCTAATACACAGTCTGTTCTTTAAGGTAATGACAATACGTTTCACGCTTTCGTATTTTTTTCCAAATCGCCGTTTTTCAAACCTTTCCCTTCCTATCTCCTATTCAACTAATGATCGGAATGCAAGATAACGCGGAAACGGACATTGACTCAATAATGCACAGCTTACAGATTCAGATTAATCAATCAATTATTTACTTTTTACTCATTCAACGATTTTTCTTCTCTTGAATTTTATATATCGATAATGGCACCCGATGCATTATCATCGTTAATGAAAACAAACAATCTGATGTGAATGACCTTTGAATTAAAATGAAGTTCATACGAGTTTTTTGAGCGTATAAAAGTGTAATGGTCATTAAAAGTCAATGCTGAATCCATAAAAGTTAATATATAGGTTGTACTACGAATGATTTTTTTTAACAGGAGAAAGGTGGGAGAGGCTTAATTACCATCTTGTTTGTTCTCTCCTATTGATGATATTAGTTTTCGTTCCTAGGCTAGATATAATATATACATACACACGAGTTTGCATCGGTGTAATTAAAAGTGTGTATATATGTACACATATACATAATGACATTTCGTAATTATGTATATAGATGTATATATTTTTAAATAATTAATTCATAATATTTTATATAATTATAATAATATATTTCGCAACGATCAAGTCGATCGAAACAGTATTAGAAATTATCAATGACTTACGTGTCTATCGTATCATTTATAATATACTTTATATTTCATTCTTATCACGAAAGATCATAATTCATTTTGTTTTACAATTAATAATCTTAATCGATACTTTTTTTCTCCAATCGCTTTTGCTCGTGTGGATGGAAATTTGAATTCGTTACATAATTCGAATTATATCATCATATGGCGCTACTGAATCAATTTCTATCAGAGCATATCTCGCGCGTGGCAGTGTCATGTACTATAATTTCAAGTTTACAATAATTCAATTATAGAAAAAATAAAAAAATTCTTTCAAGCAAATTCATAATATTGGCACCTCCCGCTTGCCATCTTATTGCAATATTTTTTGCTGTAAAGAAGTCGAGTCCCCAAATATATTGCAACTAGAGGCTGAGGTACAATATTTTTTATTCATTCGCGTAAAAAAACGAATTAAAAAATCAATCTCCTATTTGCCTTATTCTTCAACTGATAATCAACGTGATACTATTAGTTAAACAAATTTACAAAATTTATACAATGATTAAAATATCAAAAAATTGCGCATGAATATAAATCAATTGGCACAGCTAAACGTTGGTACCAATCGCAGTATAAAAGTAAAAATTGTATTTCTAATAAAAACTAATCGATTCATTCATCCGATCGGTTGGAAGGTGAAAAAACCAGGTAACACATACACGCATACACGCTTACATACGCTAATTCGAAATTACATGTAGAAAGATAGTACAAAGTGTGACACATTGTTACTGTTCCTGGCCAACGTAGAAAATCGATTTTACGATCTAAACAATTTTACACAGTTTAAAACACACATTTATATCGTAATAATCACCGTTACACATAAATTAATTTAAAAAATTATCAAATAAAAAGGACGATTGCGCGGTATTCACTCTTTTTTTTATATAAATATGTACAAACTCCTATAATCACTCGCGCTTCAATTAACATTAAAAACACAGTTTAGCGTCCATCATTTCACAGTAGGTAATCGTATTTAATAGTAGTAGTACTAGTAGTTGTTGTTTGCAATTGCAGTAAACGATCCTCGGCTAAAAGGAAACATTCAAACCGAGAGACAAATGCGTCGCGATCAACGTCGATCAGAACGCGCATTCGCAAATGGCAATGAAAAATGATTTACAATCTAACGTTGGCTTATTTCTTTCCGTGACAGAAAAAAGTGACGAGATGAGCACATCATCGCGTGTCATAATCATCGTCGTCGGGTAAACGTGTAGTACGATACATCGAAGATAAACGATTTATCTACGGCTCACACTCGGTGATGCGGGTTCGGAGCGCTTGGTGGCCGGTGGCGAGGCCAGCAGATACTGGTGCTCAGGATCGAAGTGGCCCGATACGTGCCAGTAATAGTCGTCGACGCAGGGTCCGGGCGGTGTCATCGGCATGAGGGTTGTTGGTGTACCGCACAGACTCTGGGCCGAGCTTCTCGGTCCTCAGCAGGCCAGCTCGTTGCGCGCCGGTTTGTTCGAGTGCTTGCTCGTGTAAAGCGGGCATCATGGATTCCCGTCAGCCGCCATGATGTTGTGCACCTGCTCGAGTTTGTAGGCCAAACGCTGCTTTGTCGAGAACTCGTCCTCCTCCAGCGTCACCGTCAGCTGCTCGTTGTACTTGCTCGCGTACGTGTACAACTCATACAGAGCGCAATTAGTATTAAATTCGTTTGTATGTAGCTGAAAGAAGATTAAAAATTTTCAATGCATTAATATGTTGCCGATCATCGATGTGATATTTTATTCAGAATAAAACGATCCAACACTCACTCTAGATTCTTCCGCTAGCATAGCGTTCATGTCCTGGTCAGATATGGGCTGCATGAGTTTGATGTCAGAGTAGTAGCGTTCTACCCACTCTTTGTATACTGGAATGTCCTTGGCGTAGAGCAACTTCGAGCTCGGCGAATCTTTGCCTATAATATTCAAGAAAACACAGGTTAGCATTTATCTAAAGAAAAATTCGAAAACAATATCAACTTACCAAGTCTGTGATCAGACGTTGAGCAACTGTCCATGAATGTCTGCGCAACTACGGAGAAGCACGCATCGACGATGTTCGACTTGTGAATGTCGAAAATGAAATTGGGATTCTTGATGAGATTGACCCAGAACCTCAGCGGCAGCAGATTGCTCTTCCACGTGTGCACGACCTCGGGGTCGGTGATCTGGTGGTGCAGAGCCTGGTCGTCCAAGAAGTCGAACATGTACTTGATGGCGAGGGGCAGAGCGGAGCCTCGGTGCGCCGTGCTGAATATCGTCTCAAAGAGATCGTCAACGAACTTTTGCAGGGTGCCCTTGGTGGCGAGCAGCCGAGTCAGATAGATCTCGGAGACCATTTTGTTGCCTCGGTCGCCCTCCTTCTGCGTGTCGCTGTCGTGATGGTGTTTGACCAGATGCCAGACCTTCATGCCGCCGTCGTGGTCGTGATTGAGGGGCGAGGTGGCGCGCGACAGTGGGGGACTCGCCGAGTTGAACTTGCTGAGATTCAGCGTCTCGTACTTGTGCGACTTGTCGGTCTTCTCGGAGAGAATCGACAGATTGTAGATGGAAGACTGCTTGGAGACGAGGCTGAGCGCGGCGCCGTCTGGTACGCGGTAGTGATTGAGCGTGTTGCGCTTCTTCCATTCGTTCTCGAGCTTCGTAGTCGAGTCCTCGTCGTAGAGGATCAGTCGGCCAGCGGAGCCGGTGCGCCACTCGAGGTCCAGGTCCTCTTTACGGGGTCGCTGACTGTAGGGGGTCGATCGGTAGATCGTGTCTAGGGCCTTCTCTTTGACCTGTGATATGGTGTCGCAGTCGAGCACCTTGACTGGGACGTTCTCGGTGTGCGGGTCCATGCCACCCACGAACACTGCTTGCTGCGATATCGAGACGTACACCGTCAGTGGCTTGAACTCGATCGACTGCCTGATGAGCTTCTCCTCGGATAGGGAGTATCTGGCCTCGGACGTGATTGCGTCCACGGGCCCTTTGTCGACTTGCTGCTTCATGGCACGGAAGAGTAAGTACAGAGGCTCACCGGCGCACTCGCGCATGAACTTGTACAGCAGGAAGGTGAACCAGGCCGTGAGCATTTTCTCCGCGACGCTCTCGGTTCGCCTGAGCAGAAGCTTGGGATGGCTCTTGCCCTCCATGCACTTTTCGATGAGGTCGGCAAGCAGCGTCTTCAGTATGTCGGTGCAGTACTCCATTTTGCTCTGCAGCGTGACCATGATTAGGCTCGCTACGTTAACGCGGTCTCTCATGGAGAAGTAGCGATTGCTCTCGAGGGTGCGCACGAACAGCAGCAAGAACGTCTTGTTCATGATGAGCTGGCCGAAGAGGCGCAGTCCCTTCTCCTTGCGCATGAGTTCGGGTCTATCCCATTGCAGCACCACGTGATTGTCGTCGGATGGGAAGAGTATGTTCATCGCGTAGGTGCGATAATCCAGGAACGGTATGCCACCGCTGGTCAGGTCACCGGTGAGATCCGTCATCTCGGTCTGGAGCTCGGCGAAAGCCTCCTTGCACTCGGCCGCGACGCGCAACTCCAGAATGTCCATCTGCTCCTGCATGTTCTTGAGGACACGATTGCTCTCGGTCGATTTGCGCCTGTAGGCGATGAGGAAGGCGATGAACACGATCACGAGGCCAACTATGGCCACGGAGACGCCGATGAGCGCGGGTTTCGACAACGGTCCGTTCAGGCCAGCGGGCAGGGCGTAGCTGATCTTGCCTATTTTGTACTTGAGATTGCCGCCGACGATGACGATCACCTCGGGCAGCTCGGGTTTGGCATTGCCAAACGCGTCGAGGGTCTGAGGTTGCATCAAGGGCGGTCGGCAGGTCAGTTGATAGCGAGACAGTGAAGTGACGTTGCAGAAACTGTCACCGATCTTAACCATGACGTCGAGCTCTTGGCAGGCTCGGTCGAGATGCTGTCCGTTGATGGTGAGATAGTCGCTCTTGTAGTACTTGATCTCCTCGTCGAAGACGTCGTACACCGGGTCGGGATAGAGCAGGAACGGATGAAGCTTCTGCTGCGTGAGGTTTTGCACCTTGGCAACGTTGTCCATGCGGAAGCCGTACTCGAGAGACAGGGGCCTCTCGGCGTCGAGGAGACCCTGGGGTACGTCGATCTCGGGCGACATGCACATCATCGTCGTCTGGCTGAGCACTCGGCAAGCCTGAGAGAAGTACTGTTTGCCCTCGTAGTACACGTACATCTCGGGTTTCTGTATGTAGGCGAGATTCTTGCCGGTAATGCTGATCTTGATGCCACCGCTAGGAATACCCTTGGGTATTTTGAGCTGGCCACCGACGCCGCTCTCGACGCTCTCGATGTACGGGTCGTCCACGTACTCGAAGTGTCCGTTGAACTGTCGGATCGACTGGTCGAAGTGCATCGTCACCAGACCTTTGCGCTTGCGATCGCTCGAGCTCGTGATGCAGAGCACCTCGTCGTGCTCGGTGTTGTTGATCTCGCAGGGCAGATCGTCGATGAAGGCCTGGATGCGCGAGCCGGCGTTCATGTAGGCGCCGCTGATGCGCAGCCTAGTGCCTCCGGAGAGTGGACCGTGACGCGGCGAGATCGCGGTGATGTTGGGATCGACGAATTTGTACGTCTCCTTGGACTGGCCGCGGAAGTCTTGAATTCTGACGATGACCGGGCCCTCGCGTATCTTGTTGTCGCCCGGTCCGTCGACCCGGCAGACGATCTGCTTGGTGCGTATGTAGAGCTCCTCGTAGGGCTGGCAAGTGAGTCCGACCACGGTCACACCCTGATAGATGTCCTTGAAGGTCTTGCCGAGATTGATGCCCGTGATGGTGATGTTGGTGTTGCCCTCCCAGGGTCCCATCATCGGCTCGAATCGCAGAATCTCCGGATTGGGACAGGTCTGATTGCGATCGAGCCAGGTGCCGCTGCCCTTGTCGCACTGGTCGCGCACCTCGCAACGATCCGAGGTCATGCACCAGCCGCAGCCGTACTTCTCGTTGAGGGTCTGGCACATGCCGCAATTGTCGGCCATATCGCGACACCTGTAGATCACCACGTGTATGTTGTCCGGATTGTCGAGGGGTTTGGAGCCGCCCCAGATGACGGCGAAGGGCACGGTGATGTTGGGAGCTCGGGACGTGTACGAGAACTCGGTGTCGTCGCAGTAAATCGTGTCGGCGAGGAGGCGAGCATTGACGCTGGTAACGCGACCCTCGATGTTGAACTGACAGACGAAGCGAGTCTGCACGATGAACTGGCCGATAATGTGCACCTTGACGCGGATCGTCTTCTTGATGCCGGACGAGACGAGAATCTCCTTGGAATCCGTGGCATTGATGGTCGGGCAGAAGGCAGGTCCGCTACGGTAACTCGGTCCGGTTCTCTGTAAAAGCACAACAGAAACGCGTTGGAATTTCTCTACATAGTAATAAACAACGCAGGAAGGCTTGAAATTCTCTCTCTCTCTCTCTTGTACTCACGCTGACTCCGGTAACGAGAATGTCGTTGCGGCAATTCTCGGCGGTGTCGTGGGTGCAGCGATGCCCGTCGACGCACCAGTCGCAGGGGAAATCCGAGGAGACGCACTGCGTGCACGAGCTGTGCGTGCTGCAGTCGAAGAAGGTGAAGTCCGTCGATACGAGATCGGGGCCGTTGGTCATTCTCACCGACAGTTTGGCGGTGAAGTTGTGCTGTCCCGGCGGGATAGGGGGCAACAGATCCGTCCTCGGCGTCGTGCAGTTCACGCCGTACGATTTCCTACACACGGATTGTAAAAACAGATGCGTGAATTACGTAAATATAGAGAGAACCAAAAACAAGTTAATCTGAAAAATGAGTCCTTACCTAGTCGCGTTAGTGATCAAAGTCTTGTCCAGAGCCGAGAAGGCGCACAAGAACTGTCCAGGCAGACTGGGCAGATTCTCGATGGCCAGCTCGAGCGTCCTCGCCGTGGTCCTCTGCAGCTGATTGGGATTGACGCTGGTGATGGTGGTGCAGCGGCCGCTCTTGTACGAGATCCAGTAGAGCGGATCCTTGGCGGCGTCCTGGCAGTCGCTGCGCAGGCTGCACTTGTTCTCGAGCGAGCACCAGCCGCAGTAGGGATCCTTGGCGTTCAGGCACTCCCAGCAGGTCTTGTAGACGGTGCACTCCTGCACCTTGACCTTGGAGATGCGCTGCTTGGTCATCACGTAGAGGTGCATCTGGTGCTGCGTGTCGAACAGTAGATCGGGATTGACGGGCGAGTCCTCGTCGATCACCATGTCGCCGTATTCCTGGGCTTGGCTGGCCGACTCGACCACGAGCTGGAAAAGACAAAGCGGAACGGTTGATTAGAAATTCATCGAGATATCGTCAAAGTCACTTGTATATTCATCGTTATAAGGACAAGTTTCCAAGTAGCGTCACTTGTCGAAAATTGAATTTAGACGCGAGCTCGAGTCATTGTCGCGCTTGTTTCGCAACATGGAAATTCTATTAACAAATTCCGCAAAGTTTTGCGGTACGCTCTATATACGGGTATACATTGACTAAAGACATGCTTCCAACCGAAGCGCACAGTCTTTGAGGTGCAAAAAAATTGATTTTTAAATCCGATTCGACCATCCTATAAAGGATAGACGCGTATATACAGGTATTAATCATCGAAGAGGAGAAAATCGCCTCTCACGCGGAGTGAGATACTTTTAATTGTATGTTGTTCGCCTTTTCCGGCATCGATCGATGCCTAGCTAGATTGTAGAGGCCGCGCAGTTTTTTTGCTGTTCGATTTTATATTGTACGTACCGTTTTTCGACCTATCGGTGCAGCTGCGCGCGAGAAAATCGCGTAACGCAGTAATATTTCATCATTTGGGAATCTCGAAGCCTAGGAGCTCGAATAACAAAAGCTCGCGAGCATAGGTAATCGTGTACATGGTAGTACAGAAGATTAACGCGCGTATGTGAGGAGAAAACAAAAGTATATATATTTTTGCATAATCCTTGATGTTTTTGAGTTATACGGGGTGCCATATAAAGTGCCTGATTTCGTTCAGAGCTATTTTTTTTAATATAAGCTACGTAACCAATCATACATGGAGAATATATGTGGACAAGTGGAAGTCCGTGAGTATGGACTTTAGGGATAAGAGAGCAGAAACGAGGGAGCTACGACTCTTTTAGTTTTTTTAATAGGCCATTGTCGAGCTATGCTTTTATTATGCTAGCTCCTCTACATACCGTATGATAGCTGCTTTTTTATACCTACACGTGAAAAGCTACATTATATATTGAGATGATTTCTTTCCAAAAAAAACTTGGCGTGTTTTCTCCTTTTTCATTCAAAAATAATTATAAACGACGATACAACAACAAAAAGTCCCCCCATTTGAATGCATTTATAGGCACATGGATTATAATTGTATTCCAAACATAGCGCAATGAAGCGTATATATTAGGGTGGTCCACTTTTTCAAAAATTTTTTGTATCTCGGGGGATCCATCGGAATCAGAAAGTTTGAGGTTTAAAATGAATTTTCCCGTAAACTAGAACTCAAAAAAATGATTTTAGATGGTGTCGATGGATTTTTGAAGTTTAAAAACGAGCTCCAAAAAAGAAGCAAAATCGGGCTATCATTCGATTTATTTCAAACTCTGTTTAGAGTGTAAAAATAATCTTGACAATACATTTTCTTATGTGTTTTTGTCTGCAGAATCGAATGCCGTAGTCAGTTTTGACCTAGGAGCACAATTTCATTCAAAAAAATACACTTTTTCGATCGTTCTTTTTCGCAAATTCCGCAAAGTTCATTTTCGAGCGAGTGGCAAATGAACAGAAAAAATCTAGAAAATTTTTTGACACCACCAAAATTTAGGATTTTTTATGACAAATCCAATGGTATAAATTAGTATACACTTTGAAATTATTTTAATGCAGAAAAATACAACTTTATCCCAAAAAACGACATTACGAAAAATTGAAAAATCGAAAAGTGTATTAGTTTCTTCCAGGAAATGGCTAAGTAGAATCAACTATGGAAAAAATTGCATGAAACTATCTGATAGGTTTTTTTCTCACCTTTCCAACGCCGGTTTCAGAAGTTAAAAATTCGCAAGATTCGCTGAGATACAGCTATTTTTGTACGATGCATTTTTTAGCTTAAATTCTGCTTCGCTGGTTTTTTAATGAATAGAGCTAGCTCAGAATTATTGAATTTTAAGCCTAAAAAATGCATCGTACAAAAATAGCTGTATCTCAGCGAATCTTGCGAATTTTTAACTTCTGAAACCGGCGTTGGAAAGGTGAGAAAAAAACCTATCAGATAGTTTCATGCAATTTTTTCTATAGTTGATTCTACTAAGCCATTTCCAGGAAGAAACTAATACACTTTTCGATTTTTCAATTTTTCGTAATGTCGTTTTTTGGGACAAAGTTGTATTTTTCTGCATTAAAATAATTTCAAAGTGTATACTAATTTATACCATTGGATTTGTCATAAAAAATCCTAAATTTTGGTGGTGTTAAAAAATTTTCTAGATTTTTTCTGTTCATTTGCCACTCGCTCGAAAATGAACTTTGCGGAATTTGCGAATAAGAACGATCGAAAAAGTGTATTTTTTTGAATGAAATTGTGCTCCTAGGTCAAAACTGACTACGGCATTCGATTCTGCAGACAAAAACACATAAGAAAATGTATTGTCAAGATTATTTTTACACTCTAAACAGAGTTTGAAATAAATCGAATGATAGCCCGATTTTGCTTCTTTTTTGGAGCACGTTTTTAAACTTCAAAAATCCATCGACACCATCTAAAATCATTTTTTTGAGTTCTAGTTTACGGGAAAATTCATTTTAAACCTCAAACTTTCTGATTCCGATGGATCCCCCGAGATACAAAAAATTTTTGAAAAAGTGGACCACCCTAGTATATATACACGTGTTTATATAGAATTAATTAAAAGGAATGTGTCACACACGTGTATTCCGCGTGCATATAAATGTAGTTCGTTAACGAGCTGGATAATTAATGTATATATAAGTGAAGTTTGGAGACAGGGAGAGCAAAAATTTTGTTAAACTCTCCGCGTGCTGCTGCTGCTGCTGTGCGTATACGTATGCCCGCCTGACTCCGCGTGTATACTCATTAGAAAAGTTCGAATGGATTTTAATTGAAAGAAATAACAATCGCGAGTCGGTGTGTGCGTATGCGTGTATTTGTAGTACGGGACGTGTGTGTAATCAATACAATGCGCGACGGGGTAAGCATACGGTATATATACACACACAAAAAACGAAATATTCCCTCGCCGCCGCGCCGTAGTAGCAGAACTTCGAGTTTCTTTCAAAAGTACCAAGTTCTAAAAATAAATATTTCAGCTCGCCGAGAGAGAGAGCGAGATTAAAAAAGAGTATTATATATTTGCATTATATATGCGCGAGATTCAAATTGAAGAACTGCTGCGAAAAGATGATTCGAAAATCGTCGAGAAAATTATGTATAATATTTAAAAGAGGCGAGTAGTCAGTCCGCGGCGCTGCTACTAAAACTCTCTAATTAACTGAAATGAGTCCCTGGACATGAATAAACGTCTTATTGCCCCACGTACTATACCCATGTGTCTGAGAGAGAGAGAGAGAAAAAGTTTTTTAACTGCTGCTGCTTCTGCAGCGCGGGCGCGTTTTACGAAACTTCATTTTATGCGCTCTTGCGCTCGTCGCTTTTCCTTTTTCGACTCCTGACGAAAAAAAAAATAAAATACTTGAATTTTATTCAATCGAAAATCTCGGCTTATCCAAACCTGTTAAATACGTATAATGCGATCGATAATAGGATTAAATGGTTTAATAGAATTGCAATTATCTATTTGTCGATTAAATGATCGATTCGATGGACTTAATCTGGGGGGAGGAGATAAATGAGAAAATCTCAAAACATTGTAGGGGAAAATCGTGCGGATGAAAAAGTATCAAGAATAAGAATCGTCGAACATTGTATATATATATATATATATATGTATCTATACGTACGAGTGTTATAGTCTTGCACGAATATGTGGAGACTTTTTGCCCTGGCAAGGTCAATTAATTTCGTCGCACGAAAGATCCTCTTTAGCGCGAAAAAAGAAGAAGAAGAGAGAAAAAAAGGGATTGAGCGTTAAGAACTTTGAAAGAGTGGGATTATACGGTTGGATCGAAAGGAGAAATCTAGCGAAATGTAAAGATTTAGCATCTGAAATATCGAGGTCTCATGGCATATTTAGAGCTCTGGAAAAAGGCATCTCATCCAATAAAAGTTCCGTGCCTTTTGCTTATTACTTACACACTCTGATGTAGACGAAAAAGCAACACGACACAGCACTCGGCAAAGCTATCCTATCCAATAAAGGCGCCTAGGGTAAAGATATGATTCTCACTCTGGTAAATTTTTCACGCGCCTTCGTACTTAGTATGGTGCTAATGCGAGAGTGAGAGTCTCGAGACTACGCGCAGAAAAATATATATATAGCCATGTAAGAACAGCCAATCCAAGGGTGCGTGCGAGCACCACCTCTAACTGAGTTTAGTCAAGCCCCGAGACTGTGTGTGTGTTCGAGATGAAGAAAAAGAAGGAGCGATATTTTTGTCGGCTCGTGCGCAGTGCTAAGTGGATATTCTTTCTCATTCTTCGCCCCTTTTTACAGACGTGATAATATTATTTTCAGGTTTTGACGTGAGTTCATTCGATTAGTGTCGAAACTTTTTTAGTCACTCTTTTTTTGCTTCTAATTGTGCAAAAATATGAAAACCAAAAAAATATCTCGAGTGCGTTCGCATGCGAGGTTCCAAAAACAAAATAGTACGTGTCACATAAGGCCTATGATGGATCGAAAATATTCAATGTGTAGTTTTAATATAGGTGAAAAATACCAGGGTTTCCCCTATCGCAATTATTACAGTTTGTCATTCACGTTCTCGCACGCTGAGAGCTTTTTGCAAATACATAAGAACGTGACATGATTCGTATCGAGATTGACGCGCCCGCGAGAGTCGAAAATTACGAATCGCTCTTTTTTTTTGCCTCTCATTCGAGTTCTTTGCGCGCACAAATACACGTCGACGTGGTGTACGTTTTACCATAACACGTAAAAGCAGTATAGAGAGTCCCTTTTGTCGACATTTTTACGATCAATTGTGCCAATCTCAAGGCAGTGCGCGTCCAGACACGCAGACACGCTACGCGCGCGCAAACGCATCTGTAGCAAGGGGTACACCTTTGATTTTACTCGCACACCTATATAGCTATACGAGTATTATGCGTGTAATACGCTCGCGGCGCCTATTATAT